TATTTGGGGGTAAATTTTTTAAAAATCGGAAAAAACAATTTTTAATTTCCGAAAAAATAAACTTTTAGACAATACGTTTTCCCAACCCAAATTGGGTTTAATTGATAAGGGTCGATCGGGAATTTAAATTAAAAGGGAAATATAAAAAATACATTATCATAAATTTTTTGGGCTTATTTCCAAAAGCTTTTTTTGATTATCAGGGAAATTTAAAAATTTTTATCCCTTTTTTATCTTTTTTAAACTTTTTCATGATGTTTTTTTCCCCTTTTAATTTTTTTTTGGTTTTGTTAAAAAACCAAAACCCTTTTTTGTTATGAAACTGTTTGGGTTAATTTTAAAAATTTTTTATCTCGTTTTTTCTAGAAAAATGGGACCAAAGTTTTAAAAATATTGATGGGGAGACGAACAACCGCCAGTTGCAGAATTTCCCGTTTCCCCTGGCATACCAAACCCAAAAACTGTCAAGATTTAACGACAGTTTTCAAGTTGGGGTTCCCCCGGGGCTTTTAAAAACAAGACACCCTTGGGGGTTTTGGGGGTTTTTAAATTTTTGATTAAATAAGTTTTTCCCTCAAATTTAAAAAGTTGCATTTTTTTTTTAAATTCTAAAGGGTTTTTTTTGTTTTTAAAAATTTTTTCCATAAACAAAAAAAAAAGAAAAATTTTTAAAAAATTTTATACAGGTTTTTTTAAACGTTTTGTATAACCTAAACTTATTTTGTAAATGAACGTGTCTAAACAAAATTTTTTTATATTTCAAAAAGGAGACTTGGGAGGGAATTTTTCCCACCCTTTTTATTTTAAACCCCAATTTTTCTTTGAAAGAGATATACATAAAAAAATTTTTTGGGAACCCCGTTATCGTTTTTACCCAATTATTTTTTAAGAGGGATAGTATTTATAAAATTTTTTTCATTTGTGCAAAATTATTAGTTTTTAAAAAAATTTTTCTTTTTTAATTTTTTCATAACCCTCATTTGAACAAAGCTACTTTTCTTGCCGGGGTTTAAACAATTTTTTTTAGCACTTTTTAAACAGTAGAAAAACCCCGTTTTTATAGCAAAGAAAAATCCTTTTTAAAACCTTTAAAGCTTTAAGATATAAAATTTAAAAACAGAAAAAAATCCCTTTCAAAGCAAAATTTTAAAAAAGACAAACTCGGGTTTTATGGAGTTTTTAAACACTTGATTCTAAAATTTTTTTAGAAAAGTGAAAAAAAGGCTAATCTTTTTGTTCCCTAAATTTTTAAAAAAATTAAAAGTTTCATTAAATTTTTCAAATTTTTATTAACTAGGGGGATTTTTTCCCCTTTAAGAACAATAAAAGGGAAAACGGTATTTTTTTTTCCAAAAGGGTTGGAAAAATGGGCGGGGATTTTTTTTCTATTTTTGGCCAAAGAGTAAGGGCGAACACACTTTTAAAGGACCAAAGGTAAATTCGTTGTGGGAAATAAGCAATAAAATCTTAAAAATTTTAAAAACATAAAATAAACCCTTTAAAACAAATTTCAGAAAAAAAAAGAAATCCTAAGTTTTATCCTTCGCCATTTTTGATTTTTGGCAAACATTATCCCAAAATCTAACCTCTATCTTTTCTGAACCTTTTTTTAAAATTTAAAAAGCCTTTTTTCCCCTTTCTGTTTTTGTTTTTAAATTTTAAAACAACCCAAATTTTAAAAAATGTTCCAACTCCCAAAGCGGGAACTATGAAAACCCCCTAAAATAATTTAAAATTTTCAAATCCATCTGTTCAATTTTTAAAAACATGCTCGTTCAAAATATGTTGATTTATTTTTGGCTGTTTCTTGGTAATTTTTTTTTAGTTCCCAAAATTTTCAGGAATAGGTTTAAAATTTAAAACCCGGTTTTTTTGGGGCCCAAAACCCAAAAACTTTAAAATTTAATACGGGACAAAAAATAGGCGCAGATATTTTTTGGCAATAAAAAATATCCGAAAAAAGTTATACACGTTGAATTAAATTTTTTAACATAAAACATTTTGGGGTACCCAGGTACCAAAAGTGACAGAACAAAATTTAAAATTTCCCTTTTTAATTTCTTTTTGATTAAAAGAAACCCCAAGGGGTTTAAAAAAATCTCTTCCCGGGGGAAAAATTAAATTTATAAATTAAAAATTATTAATTTATTTATTTTCGCAGTTTTCACGCTTTTTGGGGAAAATAAGAGGGAGTCCCATTTGGTTTTTATTTGTTTTTAAATTTCACTGGTTTTAAAAATACACAAGAAAACAAGAAAAACAAATAAAAAACCTTAAAATTTTTTTTTTTTCAGGGAAAATTTTTAAAGGCCCCCTCGTCTTAAATTTCACATCCTAATTTAAAATGTTTTTCTTTTCCGAACCCAATCAAAAAAACATTCGTTTAAATTCAAAAAAGGGACTTTAAAAATTTAAACAAAAAAATCCCAGATGTCTTTTCTTTTAAATTGTTCGGCTGAAAATTTAAAAGTAAAAAGAAAAAATTATAAAATGAAGGGAGTTTTTCTTTTAAAAATTTGTAAATTGTATTATTTCGGGAAAGGGAATGAACGAAGATACGCACGATTTACAGGGTGGTTTTTTAAATACTTTTAAAATTCACGTTTTATGTGAAGATAAAAATTTCTTTTTTACCTTCATGATTTTTTGATTGGTGATAATAAATTTCGCTTTTTTTCGTACATTGGTTATGAAATCCCCTTTACGCTGTTGATCCCCTATAAGCAGCATATTGAAAAATTTAAAAAAGCAAATACTTGAAAATTTTAGGCATTTTCATTAAACCGGTTCCCCCCGTTAAACGAGTCTGTCCACCACCCTATCTATATTTTTAATAACATTTTTGTCGGAGAAATGATCAATTTTAAAAAGGTATACTGACTAACATGCTTTACGAACGCTTCCCCTTAAAAAAGAATTTGCGATTGGGGAATTCATATTTTGGAAATTAAGTGTTGAAATTAACGCCCTTTTTATTAACATAATTGTGTGTTTTTCCCAATATAAAGAAAATGGACTTTTTTCAGCATCAATGTATCAACTTTTGGGAAAATGGGAAAAATCTATGATAGCCAAGGGTCATCAATGGTTTGCAAAACTACACAACTATGGTACGTGAATATTTTCGTATTTGTTTTTTTTAATTCATTTTTGCCATGACTAGGTCAACACCAACAAAGTAATGGGAAACGTCATTACTGCGAATTCACTTATATTCGTGGGCATGAAATTTCGTGGTTTTATCAAAACGGGCATTTTCGTGGGTTCTTAAATTCGTGGATTTTAGTTTTCTTGTTAAAAAAAAAATTCAGTAACCTAATGCAAAGTAATCTTAAACTTAATCGCCGAACATTTTTACTTACAACATGTACATAATTATCTTTACTTGTCACACAGCGGTTGTCAATAAATTTAATCCTTGCCTGAGATCTGGGCATAACTTTAATATAACAACAACAACAACATTTTATTTGCATAAATGTTATAACAACATTATAGCCATAAAGTATATATAATGTTAACAGTGATACAAGTTCAAATATAAAAAGTACATAAAAGTTAGCACGGGAAGTATAAAAGAATTTAATTTCTCTGTCTATTACACGATGCAAAATAAACATATTTGCCTAAACCAATTAATTCTTTAGATGACTTTGTTAATAATAAATTTTCAAATTTTCTTAATGAAGGCCATCTACAGTAATAATGTTTTAAATATTTATTCCTAATTTCTGTGTGTTTGGGACAAACCAAAAGAAAATGATTGAATATAGCACAGTTACTGCCGATAATTGACTGCAATTAACACATTTATGTGACATGATATGCACCTCCATTGGACACACTGCCCCTGTAATTCGCCGAGTGTGTGTAGTTAATGCTTAATGAAGGTCCGATGTAAACATCGCATAATTTATACGACACCTGGCACGTTTTAACTAGCGAGTTTAAAAATTTACACCCTGAATTGGTCTTAACATATTTGACAGTAACACAGCGACTGTGTAAATTTACATGCATATAAATTATTCTCGGTAAATAACACGAGTATATGTGGATCTTGTAAAAGTCGGTGGCGTCTTTGATGTTTACGGAATAGCATTCGCACAAATACCGATTAAAATTCATATAAACTGGATCATTTAAAAACGACAAAGGAAAGTACAATAAATCTGTTTTAGCGATCGTATTTTTTTTATAGTTTTGTGTACTTACGACATTAATATCAAAGTCTTTTTTTTTTAAATTAATAAGAGCAAACTGACATTAGCGCTAATTATTGCACTGCCTGGGTTCCCATATTTACTCGATTATGTCAAGTATTCTTGTTAACAAAATCAAGTCTTAGTAGACTACAACGATCAAGTATGTATATGCGACTTTTGTGACAGTAAATTCAAGACATATAATCGAATTTCTTTCAAGTTTCTTAAATATTGCAAACGGATTTAATATGTCACTAACCTGGTTATCTGTCTGTACTACATCCATTTAACGAAATATAGGCCGGGAAAGAGCCGACGCATGTTTGTGATATATAGAACAGAGACAGGGAAAGAAGTATTTGTTGGGATAAAAGTTCGTCGGATCTTAAATTCGTGGATTGACCTACCCACGAAAACCACGAAAATTCGTGCCCCACGAATAATAATGATTTTTTAGTATTTGAAACTATCTTCACACAAAGACTTTGCATTTTGTTCCCGATTTTACAGTTTTTACCTTCATTGTACTTTTTTCAAATAATAAAACATTCAAATGTCCCACTCGATAATTGATACTTTCAAAGTCACGAGAAATCCACCATATAACCCGCCTTTGTTAAGACAACTTATAATATTTTATTTAGCAGAAAATTAAGAACATTGTGTTATGTTTTCTTGTCAACACAGTACATCTGATGGTGTTTCCGAAAGCGAACAACTCGGATGGATCGTTTTTTGGAAACGTACAGTACATTCATACAGACTCCATAATAGCGTCATTAGGTTACCCCTTTAAAACAATATTGGATAGAGATATACAATGGATTGTAAATTTTGAGCCACGTCAGTTTGCTAAACTAGTTTTCACTAACCTAACATTATCTGAGGTATGCATGACAATCACATTATATCTATCTTATACTTATAAAATTGAATCTTAATAAGTATGTTCAACAACATTTAAACAATAGAAAAATCCAAAGAAACAAAAGAAAAACAAACAAAAACACAGCAATGTCTGTGATAGTGTTTTGTGCCAAATTTGCAAGAAACATTTTTATTCGATATTTTACTATTTTTACGCTATTAATTTAGGGAGTGGTCATTTTAAATAATGTGTCTACAGTTTTAAATTATATGTTTTTAAGAAAACAATTTTAGTATAATGGACGATACCTGCAATAGTAAAAACAATTTAATTGATTTAAAAATCTACTTCTAAAATTACTTTTTCTAATTTGTCTCATAATGATTCCGTTAAATTTAAACGCGACACTTCCTCATTACAACACTAAACGAACACTTCATAGAATTATTAGATACATTTACACAAATGTTGTTTTTGCAGGTAGTTATATATATTTGAGATTGCTACATGATATTTTTATTCAAGCAGTGTGCACTTATTGTTAAAACATCACAAGAAAGCAACAGCAGATTCGCCATAGATGAGCTTTTTAACGAAGAAGTATTTGTAATAGAAACAAACAAAAATCTGTTGTTTTTATCAACTATTTCCAAATCGATATTGTCACCTACAATCAAATTCCGGGCAATTGTTACCGCTGAAGGTACATTAACATATATATATATATATTATTCAAGTTAAAATACATCAGTCATTATTTGAAATATAAGCTTTGTTGTTTTTACTCTATAATTGTTTTTATTTATGCTGAAAAATGACAGGCTTTCAAAAATTTATTTTGACATTTTCTGTCTGAAATCATGTAACTCCGTGGTATATTATATAGAAGTGCCATTTCATCGATGCTTTGTAATTATGTCTCTTGTTTTATAACGGATCAAAAGGAAGGAATATGTTCGTTTAGTGTAAGTATTATTCTCAACAGTGCAGTCAAAAGACTTTCACATTTCGCAATTACTTGGCGCAACTTTGGTTTTCACAAAGACTTTGTCATTGTAATGAATACAACCTTATTTAGTAGCACCTTTGTCATTTTTATTTCACATGACTGAACCTCTTTATATAAAGATCGTATTAAAGCATTTTTATAAAAACAAATCGAGTGTTATTAAAGACACCTAGTCTTCTTTTAAACAAGCAAGATATTTGAACTGACGTATCCTTTGATATAATATTTAATTGTGACGGATAAAACAGAATTACCATGAAAGCGCCCCACAAATATACTTTGATCTTTAACATTATTGTCTGAAATAGTTAATATACATTCAATGTTAGAAAGCTTTGTTGGTCCCATATTTTGTAAATTTAATGGTTATAATAAAAGGAGAGTCACATTGCTTTTAATATGATTAGAAAACTCAATGAACTTGTGTACTTTTGTAATGGTCATTGGGTTTACTTTTATGTGTTTATACATTTTGATGTTAAACTTATTTAACCTTATGTAACCATAACAACTTTTAGAATTTCACTTGGCGGTGATTCATTTTATTTACACTGTCACGTTCATAGGAACATGGTGGGGCTTGGTGCACCATTAACCGGTTTGAATTCCCCAGCAGTACTTGTACTGCTGACCGTTCAATTGCGGCGCCCCACTGTGTTCCTCAGATGTATGTCTATGTTATTTCATACTGTTTTGGTGATATTTTTGCCTGTGTTCCTTGTTGTTTTCTCGTCTATGGTTAGTAACTTCTCCTTTGCCCCTAGTCTTATTTCTTTAACTAACCACCCATTTCCCGGGTCTCCTGTGCCCTTTGACTTCGCGGGCGTTTTATTCAATCATATATTTGTTTTTTCTTTGAGTTCCTTATCACCTACAAATTATTTCCTATTATTCAATCATTTTTTTATCTTTGAATTCTTTATAAGTTACAAATTAATTATCGTTTTAGTGATTGACCTGTCCGTGCTCTGTCAGTTACATATTTATTATCATTTTAGTGATAAGACTGCGTGCTCTGTCTTGTGCCCTGTCCTGTTTTTGTTTGGGGTCCGCCTGGGCTCTTTGCCACTGGTTGTTGTTGCTGGGTCGTGTGTTGGTTGCGTTCAGTGAACGCCGCCTTTTCTTGTTGATCTTGTTTATCATATTTTTTGGTTACATGTAATTACAAACTATAATGTATTTAACCAAAATAACATCGTAAATGTACACTTTCAAAATATTTTTGTTTCAGAAATGTTTATCTAGAACTTAGCAATTATCCTACATCAGTTTTGTTCCATATTTAATTTCAAATACTCTGGAAGTAACTGTTTCAGACTGTCGTCAATAACATGGTTGTCATGGACTTTTTCCTTTCCTTCCAGAAACTCCAGCCTGCTTTGAACTCGATTTACTTGAACATTCGAAAAGACATTTCAAAAGAAGAAAGGAACTTTGCAAAGAACCAGTTATGTTCCTTACATCCCTGTCGTATTTAAATCTTAATCAAAATTTCGAAGAAATGTTTACAATTAAAGCCGGGGAACATCAAAGCATTGAACTTACCTTCATTGATTTTAACACACCGTGTTATTACGATCACGGTAAGTAAATTCGTAAAACAACTAAACGTTTGAAATTATCTTTTGATTGACAGAGGTCGAAAATATATGTAATAGGTAATAGGCTTTGTTCGATTATTAAGATCTTTGTGCTGTTCAAAACACACACGTTTTGTTTGTAGACTGTGGCTGTTTCTAAATTTCAAATTTCATTATCTATTTTCATGATTCACTATTGAATGACGCTTAATTCGGTGCTAGTGTCTGTGAACAGTATGTCGCACATTCCAGTTCCGTCCGTGAGCAGTCTCAATCAAATCGAGTCTGCAACATTTTCAGTTTATTTGATTTAGACATTCTTTTGTTGTTTTTCTTTCTCAATATGACCGATTTTAGAATTTAGAAATAATGCGAAGAAATTAAGTGATCACGGTTTTTCGTTTCTAATATATTTCGTCTGCGAATTATGCCCATCAACAACTGGTGCCTAGATAAAAGCTTTGGCATGAAAAATAAAAAAAATAAAACAATCCCCCACCCCCGAAAAAAACAACAACAAAACAAAAACGCACACACTAAACAACAACAACAGCACACGCACAAAATAGTAGACCAGGGCCTTAAAGAACACAACAAATTAAGAATGAAGATGAACATTTCCTATAAGGATGTAAACAAAACAATATTTATTGCATGTGTTACATTGTCTTTAAAGAGAACTTGAGGTTTACTGGTTTGCTTTTAGTTTGAAGTGAGCATTTCACACAATGCCATGTTATACCAATGAAACACACGTTCATTTCAATGTAATGTTACAACACAATATAACACGTCACCAACATAAAACCCTGAAAGTGCAAATATTAAAAATTCCATGTTATAATTAAATATATGGTATTATACATGCATTACAATTTCCTTAATATCAGTAATCCATTCCATCAACAGATATGTGAAAAGAAATAGTGCATGAACTATATCTATCTTATATGAATTATGTGGATATAAAATGCAAATTTAAATTCATTATCATAATATTGTACCCACATCAAATGACCATTTTACCGTTTACGTAACAATAAACGAGAATAGTACATATTGTACATTTAGTTTCAAAATATAAAATCAATAACCTATATGAACATAAAAGAACATACCAATTGTGAATCAAACTCTCTGCAAATACCCCAGTCACTCACACTGTGAATTTAACTGTTTGTACTCAAGTTACTGTAAATTACAAACACCAGTGCTTACCAAATAGAAACAGTGGTTTCTAGAAACAACTGAAAGGCGAAAATGTATGATGCTATCTTGAATGCATACACTTAGAAATAATACAAAATTGATCTAAATATCTTAATATATCTGCACCTGTTTCCATTAAAAATCAATGCTTAATTTATTGGCATTGGAACTTACAAGAACAAATGAATAAAACGTGCCAAATACCATTTCTCCAATCTTTAAGTAAAAATACATCTACTTTATATCAGAATAACCAACACATCTGATTTCTTCAAAAATTGCCCTAGCTTTTTGAGGGAAATAAATGACTGACTTGCTGCTAAAAGGGACATACATAATTCAAGGAGGCAGTAATTTCCAAGATATTAAGGCTGAGCACCACCGCCTGACTAAAATTGAAATAAACCTTGTGGAAAACTAGCATGTAATTGTTCATTTAACACAATTTTTAAGTATTGTAGCTCACCTGAGGACAATGTCCTCAAGGTAAGCTTTTGTGATGGTCCATTGTCCGTCGTCCAATGTCCGTCCGTGCGTGCGTGTGTCAACAACTTTTTCTCTTAAACCACTTGGCAAAATTTGTTGATTTTTTGCACAGATGTTCCTTGCATGACGCTCTACCAAAGTTGTTCAAAGAATAAAATTCGATAGAGAACTCTGGTTGCCCTGACAACCGAAACATTGCTTTACTAAATATCTTAAAACAAACTTGAAAAGAAACTATTTCCTGTAAAAAACCAAAAGAGCAAAAGCTAGATATTTGGTATGAAACATCTTCTAGCTGTCATCTACCAACCAAGTTTGTTCAAATAAAAGCCATAGGGTCAAAATTGGCCCCGCCCCAGGGGTTATTGATTTTCCTTACATGTATATAGTAAAAGCTTAAAAATGTTCTTGTGAAAATCCAAAAGAGCTTATATATTTGGCGTGAAACATCTTCTAGTAAATGTCTACTAAGTTTGTTCAAATAAAAGGCCTAGGATCAAAAATTACCCCGCCTCAGGGTGTAATTAATTTTCCTTTAATGTATATAGAAATAACTTACAAAATCTGTTTTCGACAATCCGAAAGCACTATAGATAACATATTTGGCATGAAACATCTTCTAGTGGATGTTTACCAAGATTGTCCAAATAAAAGCCTTAGGGTCAAAATTGGCCCCGCCCCATGGGGTTATTGTTATTCCTTATATGTGTATAGTAAAACCTAAAAAACAAATCTTCTTGTGACAATACAAAAAAAGAGGTAGAGCTTAGGTATTTGGCATAAAACATCTTCTAGTAGATGTCTTTCAAGTTTGTTAAAAAATAAGTCCTAGCGTCAAAATTTAAAATAAAAGCCCTAACGTCAAAATTGGACTCGACCTTGGGTCATTGATTCTTCCAGAAATGCATATAGTAAAATTTTATAATCATCTTGTGAAAATCCAAAAAAGGTAGAGCTTAGATATTTGGCATGACACATCTTCTTACTTGTAGATGTCTATCAAGATTGTTCAAATAAAAGCGCTTGGGTCAAAATTAGCCCGCCCAAGGGGGTCAATGATATTCTTTATTATATGTTTATAGTAAAGACTTTAAAATCTTCTTGCGACAATTCAAAAACACTATAGATTAGATATTTGGCATAAAACATCTTCTAGTGTTTGTCTACGAAGTTAATTCAAATAAATGGCGAAGGGATCAAAATTGGCCTCGAACAACCAAGTATATTACAACAACCAGAACAACTAATTGCAACCAATGAACCCTAACCAATTAAGCTAACCACAATTAAATTCAACTAACTTTAGAAAAACAACAAAACTCCCGTCAAAACAACATTATTCTCTTCTGTAAAACGCTTCACACATTAAGTGTGCCTTCCGATATGCCCCTAGATTTTTTTTTAATTTGGCCTTCACCTTCCCCAAATCTCGTATCCCTTTCCCTCCTTTACTTTGTAGGTCTTTTATCAATTAATTGTTTTCTTTTATTTGCTTGTCGGTTACTGTTATTTCTTTTTAAGTGATTAGCATGTCCGTGCTATGTCCTGTTTTTGTTTGGGGTCCTCCTGGGCTCCTTGCTACTGGATCTGTTACAGGGTCGCAGTTTGCGTTCATTGAAGCCGCCATCCCTTGTTGATTTTGTTTACTATATTTCCCTTAACCGATGTCAATTTCCCCCATCGCATGAAAAATAAAAAAATATTCGCAAGTATAACGATTTGACATTTACATGCAGAAAGAGTTTATACACCGCAAATGCGAACGGCAAAATGTTTGAAAATAACTGTGTATTGAAATATGATAGTTCCACGACACATTCGTGTATCGCTGTAGAAAGACATTAACTTGTTGTGAAAAAATATATATCTACAGATAAAATGTATGATTATTCTGACAATGTGAAACTTTTGTCTTTGTGTTTTATAACTGTATTAATTTGCTGTCTCTGTATGTTGAAATTTCCAGCACAGAAGAGAATAATAAAAACCCTTCGTCAAGGTAACAGTTATCTTTACTATTAGATAACCTATCGAGAAAATCAGTTTTTCCTTTTACAATACCTGTCACTTGCCTGTATTTTTTTTCTTCTTCGTTTTCTATCATCAACATATGAAAGTATATTACGAAAGCACATTAAGGTGACACAAAAGCCATTATCTGAAGCTTTTTGAACTTAATTGAAAAATAACTTGATAAAATTATCAAATCGGCATTGACATTAACTTTAAACGAGTACAGTTTGCTCTCGCCGTATTGAAACGACTCTGTAACAAACATATGCATATTCAAAAGATCAGGGAATACTAAAATAAGTGAGTGTTTTACGGCCAAAGGCCGTCTAAAATCGGTTTGAATCCATATAAAATTTACAGGGAAGGACTGAAAATAAAAAAAAATCATTGGTCATTTTAAAATAAACAATAAAATTGGCCATTCTAAAATCAAATGTTAAGGATCGTTCTTGCCATTCTTTAATACAACTTTCAGGATAGTTATCAAATAAAAATATTTCTTGCCATTACAAAATAAAATGTAGAGGATGGTTTCTAAAATAAATTTTACAGGATAATTTTTAACTTTCTAGTTAAATTGCTCTGATATTCATTTTTGCTCATCCTCTGTAGAAAAGTATGGAAAATACAACACAGATTCATTTTTTAGATCGTTTTCAAATTTATTTTACAAGTATATCTGTTTTGTTTCCTTTTTGGTTTTTGTTTTCTACGGTAAGTATCATTCCTTTTTAATTACTTTTTCAGTTTTGTATCCCCCTTCAAGTTCCCCGTCCCTTTGTCTCAATCCACCCATGATTTTTGTAGCCCTTTTAAGCAATATTCTTGTCTGGTGACCTTGTTGTTTTCTAAGAATTCTTATTTTGACACTTCATCCGTGACTTGCCTGGGCCCCTGTTCTGTCTTGTATCCTGTGGCTGGGATCATTGCCTATGTTCATGCGTTTTGTATGGGGATTCGTTGATTCAATGCTACACTTTCCTATTGATCTTGTTAGATGCAGAGAAAGCAATTTTTAGAACAGGATTTGCTATCAAGGATGCTGATGGAGAGCATGAGTTTTGTTCAACATTTCCACCGCCAGAAACATACAAATCAAAAAGTTCAGAGATTTATATACATTTTCGAGTTTTGCATGGAGTACGACTTGATGCTGGAGCAGTCAAGGGGCAAGATGAAGGATTTCGGATACAGTATAGAATATCAGACCATTCTCTTCAAAGGTACACAGATGACGAAGAAGAATATGGATCATCAGGCGTGTATGGTAATACTTTTTTTGTAATTTACAATTAATACTAAGAGGATATTTTTTCGTTTGCATGAAATATGGAATATATTTTTACTCAACATGATTAAATTCCACATATTTCACGAAAATCAAAAAAAAGCCTTCTTATTTAATTTCATTATCAAAGAAAAAAGGTAACGAATTCCCTTGTTTGCTACGCAATTGCAATTGTACAGCACGTAGTAAAGATGCGCCTTGTTTCGCACGCGATGTTTGGCGCTATATTGTGACGTTACGTAAACAACTTTAAACGTCTGTACAGTGTTAATTACTGAATTTAAGAAATTGGTGTTCGGAATTTATTTTCTTTGTAAGACCATTTTCTATATTTCTAAATAGTTTTCAAAACAAAATTCAACAAAAAGTGTTTTTTATTTATCAGATTTTTTTTAACAAAATGGCGAAGATCCATAAAAATAAATTTGATTTTGACACTTTCATGTTTATATTTCATATTTATTTTTCACAAATGTGAAACATATTTGACTGATAAAGCACCATATTTCATGGGTAAAATTAAATAAAGAATTATATTGTTTTATCTGTAAAAGAAATACTGTCATATTTAATACTTTTGAAACGGATATTTTTAAAGAAGATATTGGAAGCCTACCATTTTATAAATAATGCATAAGAATTTTTGAGAAAAAGAAATGTTACATTAATTGTAAAATGTATTTATATTAAAGCCTGTTCAGGGCATTTCCGAAAGTGCTATACAGTACTTTCTAAAGAGGTTTCATGGGACATAGCTAACACTGAATGCATTAAGCGCAATGAACATCTTGTGACTGTTACATCACGCAACGAAATGAATTACGTCCAATACTTACTTCGAAGTAGGTTACTAGTATATCAGCAAAATAGGACGGAAGAGAACGAAGCTGCTGATAAACAGAAATTTCTTAGAGCACATATTGGTATTTCTTCTTTATTTCCTATGGAATGTGATTCGTTAATAGTATATCTTTCGCATTCTACTTATAACAACAGGGCTTGTGCACATTATGCTTATGGTTTACTTAGTTGACTGAAGAAAAGAACATTCTATCCTGTCTTTTTAGCCATATACATATATTGTATCGTTGTGTATTTATAATACCATGTGACAAACACGTTTCAAATGAGACACTTTATAAGATTTTTTTAGATCCAGTAATACATATACTAAGCTTTTATAGGAGAGGACACAAAATTGTACCTTTGTATAACGGTAACAACACAACTTTTTTTTGTACATGTACTCTCTTCATATTTCAAATCGTGTATGGTAAGCTATAGACACTATTGGATTAAATTATATTAAGAATGTGAACACTTTTTTGATTTCTTATTATTATATCCTTGAAATACATCCAAAAACAAAAGTAAAATATGTTTGCTGATACATTTAACTTTTTTATGTTTTTCACTTCATAAGGTTTGAAAAGGGTTAAGGACAAACAAAGAAGGACGGATTTCATCTGGATTACCAACTTCAACGTTACTTTCAGTGCTTGGTAATATACTAAATACTCAAATACTCAAAATACTGTTTATCTGATATTATTACAGGGAATTGAATTAGACCTATTATTTGTGTTATTTCCTCCATCCCTCAGTCCGTCCAATCAAATGTTTTTACCGCGCTTTGTCTATGAAACTTTGTGATTCGCATATCATTCAGCCTGAGTTAATGGCCAAGGTTTATCTATATACTATTTGAAAAGGGTAACATTCATTTTCGCGCTGTTTGCAAGTGTCTACCTAGTGGATATTAATGAAAGGTTATGGAAAAGGTCTGTACCACCCAATAAAATGCGTATAATATAGACATTTTTTATTTAGATTAGATTCAAGTTGTCGCCTTTGGATGGCGTTATTGTGAGATACGAGGAACATTGTTGATACGACTTGATGTATTGATAAATTTTACTTAAGTCACTAAAGTTGGTAGATATTATGAGAAATACTGGAGAAAACAATCACAAGTCCTACATAATTCACCCTGCCACTATTCTATAGCTTGAGAACGAATTTTGTGATTGAAATTTCAGTGATTTTCATATCTTAGATAAATCGACAACTTTCTCCATAACGACTTTCTCCATAGCGTTAATCTGAAAAAATTGATTATTTATTGTCCTGATCCGTAATTTAATTATATGTATTTTTTACATAACAAATAAACGTATTATTATACATTTATTGAAACTTTAGATTAGCTCCCATTTAAACCCAGTCAGTATCGATCAACCCCTAATTTACGTCACATCCGGCATATTCTTATGGAAGAGCCTTTTTTATTTTGCTAGATTTTATGCCTGGTCTTACTTGATTTTATGAATTTGAGCATATATTTCCATGATTTGCTTCACTTTAATCCTATGAGTTTGAGCATAATTGTGCATAATATGCTACACATGAATCTTATAATTACAGTTATTGATGTTACAATTCAAATTCGTATGCAAATGGTTAATTGTATTTAAATTCATATACTATCATATCTCAAAAGCATATTTATATTGTCAGTGCTGTTCTGCTTGACACTTATTTTTGTGAAGTTAATAAGTGGAGATATCAAATTCATTGTAATTCGACTTATGTAGCACAGATTAATAAAACGCTTCATTCAAGTGTTTTATAATCTTACGGTGGCAAATATCACCTTAACGAAATGTGATTGTTTAAATGTAAATGATCTTTACGTTGTTTTTTCTGAAATGTTTTTCAACTTTTTAGTATTGCATACCATATCCATTGCTAATTACTGTATCAATTTATGTTTCCCACATGCTAGGAAGACTTATATATAATATGTTATTAACTCTGAGACTTGCTGTTAACTATTGCAGGAAATACGGACAACCTTCAACCGGGGATTGTACTTTGACTTCATTCGAGAATTTTAACGACAGGGAACTTTGGGAGACTCAAAATTGTTTTAATAATATAGCAGATTTTTACATCTGTGAGAAGCCATTTTCACCGGACAGGGAGAACCCAAAGCGTATATTTTATAATTATGTTGAAACATTTTTCGCAACTGGAATTCAGCATTGTCATGTTTTTCAAGTCTTACAAGTGTTACTATGACCGTTAATTATAACCTCTTATGGTATAATTATTCTTATCGTTGTACATATCGTTGTAAGTCTTTCCGGCAAACCGGAACATGTCACACACTTATAGTTGTTCAAGTATGACAGACGTTTTCTAGATTATATATCACTTTTTGGTGTTTCGTTTTTGCCTTACAATTCCATAAAGCAATTCCATGAACGACCAGTTACATCTTGTGAAAGATAGTAGTTATTAATAAGCAAATATAATAATTCCACTAGGCACGACAGACAAATAATGAATATGTTTTTTAATAAGTATGTTTGTATTTTAATTTATTATGCTTTCTAGATAAATTCAAGGAAGATGTGTGTAATGGTGTATACATGAAGAAAGACCTAATTGCGTCCCCACACTCTGGTAAATCTTGTCAAAATTGGCGAATGCTATCTGCCAAAGCTAAAAGTGATTTTAACACCAAGTTTTATTCTTCACGATACCATTTACATGATTCGAACATGTGTAAGGATACGTACGCGCAGGATATTATTTGGTGCTATGTCATTGATGCTGGCGAATACAGAAGGGAACCGTGTTTTTTGCACCGTAAGTTTACTTGTAATTGGAAATAAGTCTGAAAAATTTATTATAAAAAAATCGTGGACTTTGAGATAGAATTGTGCGTGTGTGTGATGACTTCAATTGAAAAGTAGATTCAATGTTAAAAAGTGCTCTGCATGTTTTGTATACGGAGACTCTAAAGTGATATACATATTTTTTTATTTTAGTCGGGTTATAACGGATACTTATTTAATTCTAGCCATTTTTAGTAACTTTTGTGATTTCTTTATTATATATAAATGATTTGCGCGTTGTAATGACATGTTATTAGGTATACACGGAATGACTTTTAGTGTAAACATAATGTTATCTCTGTTCTTTTTTAGTACATAATAATTCCAAAAAATGCTACGAAATAATATGTTTAAATTAAATGTCCTTTAAATAGCCGATGAAATTTTTATAGTTTGCTATCAATATGTTGAAACGTTTGATATTCACAAAATGTGTTCATGATAATATATGTTCTATTTTTACATAATTATCCCTCAATTGGAAAAAGAAAATGATTTGGACAAAGGTGTTATCAATATGACTGAAAAGATATTGCCTTTGGTAAATTGCTCTGATGGATCTTCAATACCTACAGTAAATTGGTGTGACAGGAATTTTGACTGTTTAGACTATACGGATGAACTGTCTTGTCAAATTTCTACGAAAGGTTTATAAGAGTTCAGCATACTATTAAACAGTTTTAAACAAATTAAGCCTAACTTAGTCTAAACTAGCGTTTATCCTGTTTTGTAAGAATAAAAATCAATACGTAAAATGAATTTGTTACAGAAGATGAATTATGAATTATGATGTGACAGAACGGCCACTAGAAATAATAATTTAGAAAACAGTTCAACTGGTATTAAGACAGTAAATTACATAACTTTCCTGACACTTTGCCTCTTTCCTTGGTGGGTTCAATAATACTTCTCATATTATATTGTCAACAGATCACAATCTCACGAGTATTGGCAGAACAATGATAAAGATTGATTTTCCACAAAAACTGCAACCAGGGGCATACTTCAACTGTGAAAAAAGCCTGGAATGGATATCTATGCTTGCTAAATGTGATGACGTCATTGATTGCCTTGATGCTTCGGATGAAGTCACTTGTTCTCAAAGCAGTATTGGTATTTTGCTTTTTGTAAACGACTTTTATGAACTCATCTAAAATCCACCTCTGAAAACTGACGAATTTGTTATCAAGGTGTCGCTGTTGTTAAAATGTGATCATGAAATTTTGTTACGGACCTTTGTTTTTTTTTGTTTTGTTTTTTTTGTTTTTTTTGTAAATTGCAATTTATCTCTAACCACTGATATAAAAATCAAGTTTGGATCAGTACCCAGTCACTAGTGTGAAAATCTTCATTAGTTTTTATCAAGGACAATTGATCAGTCCGTCGTCCGTCTGTCCTTTAACTTTAATTTTTAACGACATCTCCTCATAAACCGCTTAGCAAATTTCATCCAAACTTCACAGAAATGTTCCTCTGGTAGTCAACTTCTAAAATTGTTCAAGTAATTTAATTCCAAGCAAAACTCTGGTTGCCATGGCAACCGAAAGAAACACTTACAATATCTTCTACTGGAAAACCGAAAGAGCTAAAGCTTAAATATTTGGCTTGAAACATTATCTAGTCTGTGTCTACCAAGTTTGTTCAAATTAATGCCCTGGGGTCAAAATTGGCCAATCCCCAGGGGGTCGTTGATTTCCTTATTTGTATTAATACAAACTTAAAATAATCCTCTTTTAAAAAAAACGAAATAGCTAGAGCATAGATATTAAGCATGAAATATATTCTAGTAGGTGTTTACCAAGTTTGTTCAAATAAAAGCCCTGGGGTCATTATTTTTCCCTTTATGTATATAGTAAATCTTTTTTTTTTAAAGTTTCTTTAAAAAAAAAACATAAGAGCTAGAGCTAAAATATTAAGCATGAAAAATCTTCTAATGAGTGTCCACCAATTTTGTTCAAAAAAGAGCCCTGGGGTTAAATTTGGCCCCGGCATGGGGATCATTGATTTTCTCTACATGTATATAGTAAAAACCATAAAAAATCTTCTTTTAAAAGCCCAAAGAGCTAGATGTAATATATTAAGTATGAACTATCTTCTAGTAAGTGTCTACCAAGTTTGTTCAAATAAAAGCCCTGGGGACAAAATTGGCCTTGCCCAGAGGGGGGGGGGTATTGTTTTTGCCGATATGTGTATAGTAAAATTTGAAAATATTCTTAGAGATAGAGCTTAGATATTTATCATGAAACATCTTCAAATGAGTGTCTACAAAGTTTGTTCAACTTATAGCCCAAGGGTTTAAATTGACCACGCCCCCGGGGGGCTATTTAGGTGATCGGTTTCATGGCCATCATGGCCCTCTTGTTTTTTTTGTTTTGTTTTTCTTTTTTTTTGTTGTTTTTGTTTGTTTTGATATTAAACTGCTGTTTAGAAAGTTATTTTTATAAGAAATTGAATTGTTCGATTTGATACAGGACATAGTTCGGTAATGAGAGAACAATGCGATACATTCACCGTATATTTTAATGTTTACAACCTTGTTCTATGTGTGCAGCATGCGATGACAACACATTCTCATGTGATGGCGGAAATTGTATAAAATTAAGTCAAGTGTGCGACTTTATACAGGACTGCACGGATGGAACGGATGAATTGTGTGGTAGGCAGTTAATTTTAAATGATTAAAAGGGTAGTAAAATATATTAACATATAAGTTTAAAAAAAATAATTAAACAAACATTTATCTTAATGCATGTTCAATCTATTTATGTTAGTTTTCCGAGTTGAAAGTTTGTTGTCCTGATACTAGAAATTAATATCATAGAGACTTTTGTTAATTTTCCTCTTTTTGATAGTTTCGCTAAGGCATACGGTCATAAACATGTCATTCATGAGCGTACATTCAACACTTTAAAGAAAATAAGTATCATAAAAACATACATTATATCACATTTGATACATTCTGTTTTATGAACACATTTAAAACCTTTAGTTTATTTGATTTATACAGAATTTATTTTAGTTCGATTGTGTATAAAGCTTTATGCTTATAGACACACTTTCGAATCCGTTCCTGGAACCAAACAGTACTGAACAATGTGTGTCTCAAGGAAACAACGACTTGCCACTGACGGGGTTTGAACTCATGCGGCTAGCGATCATTAGATTACTAGTCCGACGCTTTAACCACTCGGCCATGCCGTATAAATATGTAACTATACGTGTATAAATTTAATATTTTGGTCAGACTCAGACTTCAGTAACTTGTTCCTGCATGTTTCATTTTTTTACGCATATTGTGTCTTTTACGTATACTTGAAGAATACCAATCGTGTGTTGAGGACGAATTTCGTTGTGAAAATAAACAATGTATTCCGTCGAAGAAACGATGTAATGCTAAATCTGACTGTTACGATAAAAGCGATGAACTTGATTGTGGTATGTATATGAAATTGTTATTGCATTTAAAATTTATCATGAGTAGTGATAACAGTTATCGAATGATAACAAACGCGTGTTAGCCATATATCTACTTTAAATGTCCATTGTCTATATGCCTGTTTCAAACGTATATTTATTAATCAGATGGAGTTTTACTTGATAAAAAATGTTACTTAAAATTATTAAAATACAAAAAGCTCTGTTAATGCAAAAGTAAAAGAAAACAGCAACAAATATAATGGTCAATTCAAATAAGCGCTTTTTGCGATCACGCGGAGATAAAAGCTTGCCCAATTGTAATGCCGCAATCCTTAAAGACAAATCCTCAGTCACAAAGGGATCAAAGAATGCGTGATGATAATAAACATTTGATATCTTACAATTATAGATTCCTGTAAAGAATCCTTTCTCTGTGCTGATGATTATAAATGTATTCCTCATCGACTGACGTGTGATGGCTACTCTGACTGTAGGGATAGAAGTGATGAATTATCTTGCTACGTCAAGCCTCCAGTTTCTGGAGATTTCAATAACACATACATATGGTTAGGGGAACAAAAGCTTAAATTAGGTAATGTAGGTGAGTAAAATTCTTAGATAAAATTATTGTAATCTCTTAATTCATCTTATAAAAGTGTCCAGAACAAAACTGGAGACAGCTAGTGTCGAATTATGAGTGTACGATGTGTATCAAAAGTATGACAAAAGTGTCCTGTATAAATAATAACGCGCTGTGTTTGTGAAGATGCCTTGTCAATTTTTCTTTTAGTGATATATTTGTTTTATTTATTAATTTTAATCAAAATGCCGATGTTCTTTAATAAGAAAAGCAAACGAAATTGAGTTTTTTTTCCAGGTTCCTTTGGAGAAATTGCAATAAATATGTCGCATTGTGGAAACTCCTTATGTGTAAAAATTATCTTTAAAGTCTGAGAAAAGGGTTTTCTCTCTTTAAATTATAATTTCATTAAATGGTATCTCATATAATTTTGTTTTTTATTTAGAATTATTAATGTATATCTCAAGAGAAAAACATTTATATTAAACGCAGTTTTATTGTTGCTGTTATTTTAGTCTGAAGTTTGTGCTATTTGCAAACTACTTTGATTCACGTTCAAATGAGTTCAAATAATTCTGCTTCACTTTCACAAAAACTGCCTAGAATTCGTTATTGTTAATATTTGTGCATTTCTGTTCTGAACATATTTAAGGTTTTAATCATTTCTAATTGTTTCTAATGTAAAAAAAATAACACCAGTTATCGATTTCAGACCATGTTTTGTACAGGTTTGGTTCTTTATAGTTATTTTTAGATTTATAAAGTATAGACTTTATATCATATGTTTACCATAAATACATCTGAAAAAGAAAGGATAAAAACCAGTGCCTGTTCAAGTCGAAATGAAAGAGGTTATGCTCTTCACAAAGCTATGGTCTTAGATCTTAGTATTATAATCAACGTGTCACTTAATTTATTTGAACTGTGTCACGCATGCCGCTTTTCACAAAACCACCTTTACGCCTTTATCAAATGCACAATTTCATTTATTTTAGAAAATAATAAGTTAAATGAATTGAGTTTAGGATTTAATTTATTTCAATTGACTTTAAATAATTTTTTTGAATGATTCTTAAAATTCAAGTATCATGTTTCCTTCAGCCCCAATACGACCATTTACCAGAAATAGCAACAGTAATGATGGAATACTATATTTATTTTCAAAAACTTTTTAAAAAACCTCTTATCCGAGGTATTTTAAAAACTAAAAGTATACTTTAGCTTCAACTATTATTGAGAAGTCTCGTTTCAGATTATTGTCTTATCCAGAGTTTGGATTTTGAATTTTGAAACATAGCAAATGAGTGTGTAAATAACATAGTTTCAGTAAAACTTAATAGTATTTAATTTATTTCTTCTCAATGACTCCGTGTGCACTTGAATAACAGCATCTTCCTTTCCTTTCTTATATCAATTACTTTGTCATCATAATTGTTAGTAACCAATTTTCATGTTCTAAATAAATTTAAATGTAACCTTCAAATGAAAATTTATACAGAGGTGTTCATTGTAATGAATATGTAAAGGGAACACAAGTTTATTCGCATGAAAGTCCATTTATCAATAAAAAGAAACTACAAATAAAAATTTTGAAAATGCAAGTCAGAGGCAAAATGGGCTGACTTCTTACAGACTTAGCATGATTGTGCTTCTCTGCCATGGACATTCTTTTCATAATTTAATACACTATGTTAACATTTATATCAAAAAATCAAACGTATAGTAACACTTAGCCTACCGAGGCGCTTGCACAAATGATTCCGAAGATTTTGGGCATAACTTTAATGATTCAGCCTCGGTAAATCACGGTATTTACCGTGAACCAGAAATGGTTTTAAATGTGGTATACAAGGACTGTTTACCGTGAGTTGCTAATTAGTCCCCTACCGGTTTACCGGAGGGGACTTTAGGTTTACCCTCCGTCCGTCTGTCCGTCCGTCCGTCCGTCAGTCCGTCCGTCTGTCCGTCCGTCAGTCCGTCCGTCCACAAACTGGATCCCCGATACGCAAAAAGTACTGAAATAATTTTAATGAAACTTGATATATGGATAGATGACAGTATGGAATTATGCACGTCTTTTTCTTTTTTCTTTCCTATTTGAAAAAATTTCTGGGTTGGGGTATGGGCAACAAAATAGACTGAAAAATATGGCAAATTTTAAACACATAAACCTGGAATCCCGCGATAAAAGCAAAAAGTACTGGAAAATATTTTTTATGAAACTTGGGAATATAATGGATAGATTGGGCAGGTCCTGGAGAATTATTGCCGTCCTTTTTTCTTTTTCTCCTATGTTTGAAAATTCCCTGGTTGCTATGGCAACAAATAGTCTGAAAAAATATGGCAAATTTTATCAACAAAACCTGGATCCAGTGGATAACACGAAAAGTACTGAAAATATGTTTATGAAACTTGACCATAATGGGTAGATGGCAGTATGGAAATTTTATGCCATCCTTTTTTTTATCTTCCTTGTTGAAAATTCTGGTTGCTATGGAACAAATATACTGGAATTTTCAAAGATTTCCTGATTCTAGTTTTTTAAGTTTTTTCAACTATAATTCTTTAATTTTCTTAAAGGTAATGTTTATTCAAACTTTTTAAATTATAAGTTTGCTTGTCATCAACCACATCATAATGTTGACAAGGTTTAAACTCTAGCACAAAAAATTTTCAGAAAATTACCTCCCCCTTTAACTTAAAATTTTCATGGAAAAAACATTGTTTTTTTTTTTTAATAACTTCTTTTTCTGAATGTATCTACTTCAAACTTCATATAAATGTTTCTTCAATTGTCCCTCAACATTTTGTGAGGTGTTCAATACTCCTAAGCGACTATTTCCAGAATTAATGCCCCTTTTGAACTTAACTTTTTTTTGAGAAATTGGTAATTTTTTACCTGGAATGTTTAAAAATAACTTTAGAGTGTCCTTCAGTCCGGTCTGTTTTGTACATAAAAATGTTTTCCTGTGAATCAAACTTTTAAAGAACTTTTTTTCAACCCAAATTTAGCTTAAAAATAAGGAACCTTTTTTAAGTTGGGAATGGGGGCCAATGGGGGCCCTTTCAGAATGGTTTGCTTTGGGCTAAACCGGTAGGGGGATTTATGGGTTGCTTGCCATACTAATGAATAATTGCTTGTTATTTCTTGAATTTCTCCTTTTATTATTTGTCATCACCTATCGTTTATAGAGTAATGCACTCCTTTTATAATATTATAATTTTTCATCACATATCTTTTAATAAAAACTACAAAATACTTTGCATCAATCATTCCTCTTTTGACAGTAAAACAAATTATAATATAAAAAGCAATTGCCACTATACAAGCAACAAACAATTAATACAATTACAGTAATGAACTAACCCAATTTTTGTCGTTCTTTTTTTTGAATTCCCGTGACCTTTCATTAGCCAATAAACGGGTTATAGCATTCTCTATTATAATTCAAATAAGTGTCTAAAACCAAATTTATGGGAACAAACAAGTGGCAACAACCAAGCATTTTGAGTAACTTACCTTGAAACAACGTCACAAAAAAAATATTTCAACATGAAGTAAATTTAAAAGCTATGTTTACCACTGGTTGTATGGTTTTTCTATGTAAGATCTGACTTTGAGTGAGATTGACAATTTCTAAGTAATAACGTATCAATGCATAATTTATGTTCAACATTCTCTTTCCTATTTAGATATTATTTGGAAGCTCACATCACTAGGATACGAATCTGGGAGAATCACCTTTTCAAGTAACTCGATATTTCTTACTGAAAACGAATTTTTGCACTCAGGATATTCTTGTTTTATTAAGGTAAGTTCAAGTTTGCAATTATTTGTTCATTAACTGATGTCTACACATTTGTAATAAAATGCATTTTTATTTTTGGTTGCTTAATATTTGAAAGCACTTTTCTCATGGCACATATCAATTTCAATCAAGCCTAAAAGTCTTATGGAAAGTCTTTCGTAAACAGTCAAAGGCACTTGCCATCTTATTTTTAATTCCTTTACAAATAATTTCAACTCACCAAACTAAAACAACTAAAAAGGTGTTAAAATCGGTATTAAATTAATTAAAAAAATATTGAACAAGAGGCGGTTGACGATTTTTATTCAAACTGAATGTTTTTCAACAAATAAATCGCCATGCAAAAATCAAGATCTAGCAATCGGTCAAAGGTATCAGCCTTAAAAGTCGGTAAATTAGCTAGCCCCCCCCCCCCCAAATAAAAAAAATAAATAAATAATTAGATAAACATTCACGTACACACACATATACGAGACATTAGGAAAATTTAAACACAAGAGATATTGTTTACCTAATTGTAATAAAACAACAAAAGCAATAATAATAATAATTATTATTATAATTGATAAGATTCGTTATTTGCGTCATGTACAAAAAAGAATGTAAGGTGTATAAGATAAAAAATAACCATAATGCATTTACGTTTGTTTTCTGGAGAATAAAGTTACATTGATATACTTCTAGAATATCATAGTGATTTGCAAGATAAGTCATATTATTGTACTATTTTGTTTCACAGTCAGTATGATATTTCTATCGCAGGTAAAAACAGATTGTAGTTTTAAGTTTCGTGAAGCTGCCCTTGTAGACAATGTAGACAGTAATGACTTTGCGTATCCGTTCTGTGACTGCACAATAGATACATTAAAAAATAACAGAGTTGAATTTGACAGGTATGCGTTCAAAACATAATTATTTCACTCAAAAACATCGTAATACATGAGATTTTGAAAATTTAAATTTAGCTTTATTAATATTTTTATCTGATTTGCTGATAAAAATTATCTTATATATTTTTGGTTGAAAGAAATAAATTGAACCTTTCCTGAGATAGAAAAGGCTAGAAAAAAATGTGTCATATTATTTACGAAAAAATATGATACTACAGGACATAAGTGTTTTTATGTGCTTATAGGCTCTCAACTGAAAGCAATGGTTCTTTAAAAGTGCTCACTTTATCATATTCTATAGATTTTTAAAAATTAAATCATGTGCAGACGAACCATAGACATTTTCAGATATGTAAATAACATATTTTTTTCTTTTTCAATGCCAATAATTATAGTAAACGTTCTTCTTTTGTACTTTCGTAACATTTCGTACGTTGTGAACAAGAAAGTTCAATTAAATAGGAACATGTGTGATTTGTTCAAGACACGGCAAATTTATTACTTCTAAATGATGAGCAAAGACTGATTTGAAACACATTTTTAGTTAGACAGTAAAAACAAACATGATATTAAGAATGTAAAATGATAAATATTGTAACATAAATTTCAGCTTTGATTTTGTTTCGGTGACAAGATGCGATGGAAGTGAAATAACAGACTTACATGCTGTTAAAGAAAGTTTTTATTCTAAAACACTTCGACATTTTAGTGTGTATCATCGTCCGACAAGTGCTTTCTTGCGCCAAACATATATACCATCGTATTGCACTAACGGTAAGAAAACCTAATTAAACGTGTACGAAATTGGTGATGTGTTTGATATTCACGCTGGCGTTCTGTTGCCCTTTCATCATAACTCATTGAACCTGGTTTAAAGGTTAAATTAAATGTCTTTTTGTACTTGTTCATAGTATATGTTAAATTTGATCCAACACATAATTAAATCATATACTCCACTATTGACCCAACAGATTTCGGACGCAACCAACAACGCCTTCGCTTTATTCATAGCGAAGCATAGGGTACACACTTGTAAATAATAAAATATATATTTTAGGATTTTCTGTGCGGCCGTGTTTTATATGAATAATTTTCTATCTGTTTACAAAAGAGTTTTATTGGTAAAATGTCATGAAAACGAGAGAACCGGTGTTCATGCAATTAATTTTTATACCTATATCTTCGAATTTAAAAACAAGCTATTTACTTAAAGTCGTTTCAATTTGAATTGATACCACATTCATGACGGCATTTATACAATTTTGTTAATCAGGTAACACATTTTACATTACAATAGATTGATTTATGAACTTGTTGAATTGGAAACCACTTTTCACAAGTAAAACTAAACAGGCTTGTTGAATTGAAAACAACTTTTCTCAAGCACTGTTGTAATTTCAGATTCATTTCTTGCGGAAACGACTACCACCTTCCACAGATTAACAATCTTAAACTTTTTTAAATGATAATGACATTTCCCAATCGATTTGTCATAAATAATTGCAAAATATCACATTATTTATGTGGAAACGTAAAAATATAATTTAGATTCGTTTAAGCATCAGTTGGCCGACGACCACGCCGTACATTTTCGACAGATTATTGGAGATGGGAAATATAACTATAACATCAGATAGCCTCCTAGAAAACTAGGATAGAATGTAAACATTTGCACGATCTTTGAAACCACTGAGCAGTACAATGAAAGCAATGCAACGCAATATGAAATTAGGCTCAACTGCGAACTTGGCAAGTGCTGCTTAGCGGCCTCGTTTTTCCTTGGATAGGGATTGTTCCTCGAATAATGAACAGGACCTGGTCAATTTTTTACTTGGATACATGCCAGGGGCAACAGGACTATAGTTCAAAATGGTTAAGTATTGACGACCATTTTCTCGATAGTGAGTTGACTTGTCTCTCCTGACAAACAAAGTGCTATTGTCACGGCAAACGGAGGAAAACTCTAAAAGTTTAATGACAAAAGACTGAAAAGTGTGGGAAACCGCCAGATTCCAACAGTTTACGAGCAATTGTGAGGAAAACTCAAGCGCGATACGAAATCGTTTGATTTCACATTGCAGCGATCACAATTATCTCTTTGTCAGACTATAATTCCAGTTCTCATAATGATGGAATTTTTCAAGAAACAAAATGTTTCAATGAGTTAAAGGACTTGACTGGTGACGCGTAAAATATCCTAGCTCAAGCAGGAGTAAATGCAAATGACGAAAGAAAAGAAAAAAATAAAGCGGGACTTATTGCCGTCAAACCGACCACTGTGCAAAACTATCAGCGACGATATTGTTTGATAGGATTCGAGAGGTGAAGGATTCCAAAACGAAACTAACGTCAAATGAAATAAACAAGAACCATTTTTTGCTCAAGTTGGGGCGCAGAACCGATCGGTGGAAAATCAGGACGGCTTCAATTAATTTTGAAACCAACGATCAATAAAAAAAGGAAAAGAAATCATGAATGTAAGTAGAATTTTTGTAGCACTTGAAATCAGTGTTTGTTTTTTTATTCGGGAAAACGGCGGAAAAATTATCAATGTGGGAAACTATCATGCCAGACAAATGGATTCCAAACATACTAACAGCTGTACACTTGAAGTGTTTCGGACACCAAGGCAACTGCATATTCCTACTCCGTTTTCTTTTACAGCAGACAAGAACTATAAACGGAACTAAATTCTTAGAAAATGTTGTCATTGAAAAAGTACTTTTTCGTGCTCTTCTACAATGTCGACAGAATGATAAAACCGCTTTTCTCTTATCATAGGTCAATTGGTCACACACGCACATACTTCTCTGATGAATAACGGCTTCATGCAGATACGTATTGTTCGTGTATAGAAAATGTCCGAGATACAGTACACTTACTCGATAAATTAGGCTTAACAGGAATGTTTTCAACATCTGTACTCGAACCATGCAGTACAATAGTTTCCTTAGAGTTTTATTTTGTATAGCGCTTCAATGACGGTTCGATAAGCAACACATAAATTTAATTGCATTGATATGTTACACACTAAACGTACGCCAATACGCAAATTTGCAAAATCTCATTGGAAAATTGAATGCCACGGACAACGGAGTGCAATGTTCAATTATCCATATAAAACCGCCGAAAAGTAAAAGACCATATCCTGAAACGTCACGGCGGAAATTTGACAGTTTTATGACAGTTCCACATACAATTACACCTTCAAAAGAGTGGTTGAGGACAGATACAAGCCAATTATTATTAAAGAACCTGGTTTAATAATCTATACCGACTCTTCGAAAACAATATACGGCATCTATTTCAAAACAAATAATCTGACACTAAAAGATATTGGTCAAGCGATGAACAAAAATTGCACATTAATATTCTTGAATTAAGATCATGCGAAATTGGTATATACACGTTCTGCAAAAATTTAACCAATGAACATGTCTGAATTGTTTCTGGTAATAGTACAAGCTGGGCGTTTATTAACAATTATGGCGAAAACGTGACATCACTAATCGCATAGTTCGACATCTGTAATTTTAATGCATTCGAAGAAAAATACATACTATCTCGGAGTTACTATTTACATGCTGATAAATTGAGCAGATCGGGCAAAAATAGCACAGAAAGGTCCATGCATAGATCAAAGGCTTTTTAATTAATTTCTTAAATAATTCCCGAATATGAGAAAAGATCTATTTGCTTCTAAGCTAAATGCAAAAGTTTTATTGTAAGTGTCTAGATATTCTAACCTAGATGCTTAGACTACATATGCCTTTTCATTTAAATTGTGTGATCACCAATATTATAGTCTTGCTCCTGTAGCTTACTTGGGGAAATATTACAAAATATTACAAAGATAGAAAAGGGTTCACATAAGCGATAATAATAGTTCCAGTATTGCGATCTCATTTAAGGTTGTCAATTCTTATATCGCTGACCAAAGGTCCATGTTATTTACTACCAAAAAATATGATAAACAAGATCGACAAGGAAAGGCGGCATTCAATGAACGCAGCCCCCACCAAAGCCACAAAAAATGCTAAAATTAGAACATTTATAAGTAAAATCGTATCCTGTCAGAAAAACAAGGCTGAATGCCTTTAATATATTTGGAACATAGGCACCACCTGAAGACTCACAAGTCCTTATCATCAAATCCTGGAGTGACAGCACGCGTAAGCGTAAGCACTATAACACATTTAATACGCAATTTTACCTTTTTGCAAGGAACAAGCAAATCCCTTCAAACCGTCTAACAGTATAGTAATAAAGAGTCTCGTGGATTTGTATTCACGAGGTAAGTTACACGACTATTAGTACTGCTCGTTCAGCATAGTTATAGCACTTTCGCAAAAATAACGGGGAAAACATTCATAACGATGAAATAATAAGCAGATTCAAGAAAGAAATTTTAAATCTAAGTCCACCATATCCTAGCTATAAAACAACACATACGTAGCTCAATCACTCTGTCACGGTTGGATAAAACTGACAATGCATAGATCAAGCATTCTAAGCATAGAACTAGGGCTGTTTTTTTCTGTCTGTGCATTCAGAAAAGGAATGTTATTGACAGGTGTCAACCAATATGCAGGGTGGAGTTTTGTATCAGTATTTGCAACATTAAATAATAAAACTTTGATAAATAAAAATCTATTTAATTTCAAAACAATGATCTAGAGAGCTAATGTGGGGATTTACCTTAGAGACTAAGAGTATATGTACATTATATGTATCACATTCAAACATGCTTATTATATGTTGGATATCATAAGGATATTACTGACAAGGACAAAAAATATATAATTATATTATATTTTGCTCTCAATATATTATTAGCAATATATAGTCAGAATAATCTGTGGGGCCAATAAGGGAGCTTATGTGTTAAAAATTATATAAAAAAATAAAATTGATTGATTAAGCGATACTTACTTTTGGAAAAGGGAAGGCGAAGGTGGATCATAATTGTATCCGACTCAAAACTCTCATATGGCTCATACACCAACCTACAAGCATTCCGTACTTGTTCAAGTTATAATCAATATTAAAGTATGAATTACCCAAGTCGTTTCTAACTGCGTGAGCTTAAATTATGTTTTGTGTCGGCTAAAATTATTTTCAACCTTCGCCTTTCATTTTCCAAAAATAAGTCCAGCTAAATCAATCAATTAACAAATGAGCGCCATATTATAGTCAATTGGTAAACATAGTTAACATATCTTTTTTCTTAACTCATATGATTGTATGTGGATTGTTTTGTACGGGACTTGCGCATTCATTCGTTGACAAGCATGAAACTGTTTCATTCAAGGTTTAATAATTAAATTTGCGTATTTTTTCTTATTTTTAAATCTTAAAAATATCGCCAAATTATGCGTAAGCAGCTTAAAATGCCATTAGTTCAGTAAAATCATCTTTCATCTGTCTTTAGATAACAAAGTAAACGATAATGCTGTTACATAAACCAGTTTTGTCCCCATTACCAGAATTTAAGTTCTGGCTTTATTATATTTAAATTATATTATATTTTTAATATTTTTGTTTTAAATAAATGCTTTTTTGTTTAGAGTACAATGCGACCGTATTTGGTGAATTTTTTCATTGTGAAAGAGACGGCAAAGCAATATCAGAGTCGTTGGTGTGTATTTATGCCGAAGACGAAAGCGGTTACATGACTGGCTGTAGATCTGGAGAACATTTACAAAATTGCGGTAATAAAAACATTTATAAGTTATCAAAATTAATGTATTTTTTCTAGATTTCATAATTGAAATGTCCGTTGTGTGTAATTGACATGTTTAGTTAGATTATCTTTGTAGCTAACATAATCTAGCAGAAATATTCCTTGGTTGACATTTGGTTAATTATGCCTCCTTTCGAAGAAATGATGGTATATTCAAGGAGGTCATACCATGCGCGCGCATCCTCAAAATTCTTATACCACGAACACTTTTTCAACCGGTATTTTGAACAAAAAAAAGTCATGTAAAGCAATCAGAATAGATTTGAATTTAATTTCTTTTGCAAAGAAGATGTCCTTACTTCTAGATTTGATATTCTAAATGCACAACTCTTCCCTTTCTCGTCAGTATTTCGCTTTGAATGCGATTTTGATTCTGGATACTGCGTACACCCGGCGATGAAATGTTACAGAAAATTGAGAAATTTTCGATTAAACTGAAAGTTTCACTCAACTGGAAGTTATTTTATTGTAGAACCTGTTTCATAAATATATTTTCAATCTTTGTTATTAAAATATTTAATTACAAATAATTGTAATAACGGGGCATAATAAAAACATCATCTGTCACAAATAAGACAAGAATTTTACTTACAAAAAATAATATTTATTGTTATAACGAGACATTAAAAAACATTATCTGTAACAGATTGGGAAAGACTTTTAATTACAAATAATTATTTATTTATATTTACATTTATTTATAGCTCATTTAAGAAAATAAATGTATGCCAATTATGTCGCGAATTCTTCTCCAAACAACATGATGGTTGATCTTTGTATAGGCATGTGCTTTTTTCTGAGTACCATTATTTGAACGCAAGTTTGAATGCCATAGTGGAAAATGAGAATTAAAAGAGAAATATTCCCGATAAATTTTGTATTAACGACCTCTTATTTAGGAGTTCAGTGCTTCAATATGCATTAGCAAACCACCGTGCACCTATAACGATTATTTATATTATATCAAAATAAACTATTCTAAACTAATGATTAATATTTCACATTACATCAAGTTGTTTATGAAGAGTTGTTGAATAGCAATATAAAATATTGATTTTGCCATACTCAGAATGCGTACGCACGAAATGCAACATCCCTTTCTATGGAAAACTTGTATCGTAAAACGTCCTTAATGCTCTTAGGCAAACAAGTTGTTAAAATTGTATGATAAGAATATTGTATAAAGTAAGGTGAGAAAGTAAATTTCAGGGTGGTTAAAAAAGGAAATATATTTTGGTTTTGAGTGTGCTATAATATAGCAGGGTATGGAGTAATATAATAATAATAATATGCATGTTGATGTTATCATCATTAAAAAGTTGCGAACGGCTGATGACGTTACTCACATTTTGACAACACTCAAACTAAAATACCCTATAACTTTAACAGAAAAGCTTTTCTGAAGGTATAGTTTGGAACATTTAATGATGAAATGTTGACGTTTACTATTTGTATGATAAAAGGATTTATTATCATGAGAAAATATAAGTTTTTGTGACTTTAATATAATGCCGCATCTCATCGGAGAGTGTCGAAATTCACGTGATGTAAAGCTTGCAAAGGGCCAGAAATTTATGAGCATGCTCCTTTGGATGTTGACTATGAATTCATAACATTGATTTAATCGAACACAGTTGGGATATCTTAAATATAGATGAATACTTACCGTCCGTCAATTGTGTTCTCTGCGCCGACATGTATATACTAGTACGGCTGTCGAGGGTTAAACGGCTCTCTGCCCATTTGATTGTACGGCGACATGTCGTTCAGATATCCGTAGGCCTACGGCCCTTATGATTATTTTACTGCACATCTAAACTCCATACCGTGTTATATTATAGCACAGTTGACTCAAAATAAAGATATATTTTCTTATTTAACCACTCATAAATTGTCTCACCTTACTTTATACAAGATTATAATCATACGAGTTTTAACAACTAGCATTAAGCCTTTTTACGATACGAATTTTCCATAGAAACGAATGTTGCATATCGTGCATACGCATTCTGCGTAGACAAAGGTTATAAAGAAAGAATATGTAATATCGGTATTCAACAACTTTATAAACCACTTGATGTTATTTGAAAGATTAACCATTAGTTCAGAATAGTTTATTTAAATAAATAAAATGTGCACGATGGTTTGCTAGAACATATTTAAGCACTGAACTCCAAATTAAGAGATCGTGAAAACAAAATTTATGGGCAATATTTCTTTTTCTATTCTCATTTTCCACAATGGCATTCAAACTTGCGTTCAGAGTTATGAAGTTTCGTATATATTTGATTCCATTATGAACATCATAATGTCTGTTTCCTGTAAATGGTTCATTTTAAGACATTTTTCGTACAAAGGAAAAATATCAAAGATTGAAAATATATTTGTGAAATAAATTCCACAATAAACTAACTTCCAGCTGTGTGAAACTTTCAGTTTAATCGAAAATTTCTCAATTTCTGAAACATTTCAATGCCGGTGTACGCAGTATCCAGAATCATTATCGCGTTCAACGCAAAATACTGACAAGAAAGGGAAGACTTGTGTCAAGGCATTTTGGACTTTTAAAACTAGAAGTAAGGACATCTTCTTTGCAAAAGAAATTAAATTCAAATCTATTCTAATTGCTTTTCGTGACTCGTTTTTGTTCAAACTATCGGTTAAAAAAGTGTTTGCGGTATCAGAATTTTGTGGATGCGCGCGCATGGTATGACCCACTTGATATTGATTTCAACATGTCGGTCGGGGTTGTCCGTTGGCCAAACGTTACTGATCAATCAATTAAGGACACCTAACCCTAGGAACTTCAAATTTGGTTATGATTATATCTAACGGGTAGAAATCTTCGTATCGACGCCCTTAAAATTGTCATGTCGTCGTGTCTTTGCCTCAAAATTTAAAAGGCGAAGACACGATAGATGGCCAATTTACGTGTCTTTCACTTTCGGCGTGAAGGCATGACGATACAAAGACTCGATACATAAGCTAATTATCATGTCTACGACTGTCAAACCGAAGACACGAAGAATCGATACATTTGGAACATCGCATTTTAAGGCGAAGACAAGACGACATGACAGATACAGGGCAGGATACCAATATTTCTACCCACCGACATGACAATTTACAAAAATAAAAAGAAATCTCGTGTCGTCGCCTGTTTAAATATCGTTATTTTGCCTAAAATATATCGTGTCTTCGTGTCGGCGCAATCTAAGGTCGAAGGCAAAGACAAGTTACGTGAGCATATTATAGTGTCTTCGTTTCTTCGATTTCGACGTTTGTGGGGCGAAGAGAAATAAGTCACCATAGGTATGAAGATTTGTCATGACCATTAATGACCAATAAATAAACCCTATCGTTTTTGGGTTTACGAGGGTGAATGTCAAGGTCACATAGACCTTTTCACAGGTTCATTAGTCTAACGATTTTATGGTCAACCGGTCAAAGGTCAAGGTCACATTCACTTTGTATGCAAAAACGGTTTCCGACTAATTATTCAAGAACCCATGAACCTTTGGCCCTCAAACTTCTCAGATGCATTGGTCTTGGTCAGTTGATAAAAGCTGTTGTTTGTGGGACCAAGGGGTTAAAGCTCAAAACAATTTTCTACCAACTCGACAACCTATGGGCTCCTCGCCCTAAAACATCAAAGGTGCGGTGGTCTTGGCAAGTTAATGGCATCCTATTGGGACAAAGGCACTGGTCACATTAACCTTGTTTGACAAAATAATTATCACCAAAAAATCGCCATTCCATGGTTCTTTAAACCGCAAACAGAGGCGCATAGGTCGTGGCCAGGAAATGATCCCTATTGATTTTTATGTTTCAGGGTCAAAGGTGAAGGTCACAATGGCCTTGTATATCAACATTGATTCCAACCAACTTTACAACAAATGAGACTGTGGCCCTCAAACTTAAAATAGGCATTAATTTTTGGCAGTTCATGACTCTTTTAGTATTTGGTCGAGGGCCTAAAGGTCAAAGTTGTATGTCAAAACCTTTTCAGCTTATATTTAAAATAAACATGACTTATTGACTCATCTTTCCATTCGTAAACTTTTACTTTACACGACATAACCTAATACATAAACCGCTGAGCAAATTTCATGTTTCTTTGGTGGGAAACTTTCATAATTTTTCAAAGAATTGAATTCCATGCAGTACTCTGGTAATGGCAACCGAAAGTAAAAATACTTAAATAAATCTTCTTTTAGATAAAATTTAGATATTCAGCATGCAACATCACCTACGGCGTATCAAATAAAAGCCTTGGGATCAAAAATAGTTCTGTCCTGAGTGTCATTGGTTTTTCTTTTTATGTATATAGTAAAGACTTTAAAAAAACTTCTGCTCAAAAACCCAAAGAGGTAGAGCTAAGCAATTTAGCATGAAACATCTTCTAGTTAGTGTCTACCAAGTTTGTTCGAATAAAATTCTTGGGGTAGAAATTGACTCCACCCCAGGTGGTCATTGATTTTCCTTATACATGTATGTATATAGTAAGAACAAAATCAATCTTCCTAAAAAAATCCAAAGAACTAGTGCTTAGATATTTAGCTTAATACATCTTCTTGTGGATGTTTACAAAGTCTTTTCAAATGAAAGTCCTGGGTTAAAATTAGCTCCGTCCCAGTTGGCCATTAATTTTCCTTATATGTGTATAGCTAAAACAAATAAAAATCTTTTTCTATATACATTATAGGCTTTAGCTTAGATGTTTGATATGGGACATTGTCTGGTGGACAAAATTCAAATTATAGCCTTTGGGTCCAAATTGCTTCGCCCCGGGGGAATAGAGATTTTCCTTATTTGTACATAGTTAAAACATTCTTCTCTAAATTTACAAGAGCTCAAGTTAGTTTAGTTATAATAGGAACCAGTAACTTCAATAGCAAACATACACTTTCAATAGCAACAAGTGCATCTACCATTGCATTCCATGGCAGGCACCGACTTCCAAGGAAACATTTTATTTTGATTGGCAACCAGTGACATCTTATTGAACTGTTGTTTTTTTCCTTTAGCAAAAGCAGCCAATAATGTTTATACACATGCACTATTTCAGATACAAATATGAATTTTGTGATATTAGTTTAAGATTTAGATTTTATATCTGCTTTTGATTATAGTTTACAATACTACTTGTTCCTTGTCATGGAGAGTTTTTTATTCAGGTGAGCGATATAAGGGCCATCATGGCCCTCTTGTTAATCTTACTTTAGAAAGGTGATTGTTTTCTTTAAAATTCTTATCATACAATATAATAGATAAACGGTTGTTTGCATATATGTGAAAACAACCGTTCAAATACTGCCATATAAACTGTCAAAAATCTTCATAAAGAATTTTTAATACTACAAACTTCCCTCTTTAGAGAAAAAAGAAAGAAATTTCTTTATAAATTGACAGAAGCTGTGTACATGTTAATGAAACGTCACTTTCATCCAATGAAAATGCGAAGTTTACAACCGTACAGTTTTTATTCATAAATACTTTACATGACAGTTTTTTTTCTCTATCAGTTATATAGGTTTTAAACATGTCATTCAGTCTTTCTAACGAAATGACGCATTAACACAAACGTTGAAGATGCATATGCAAGGATATCGGTAGGATAGTTCAAATGTTGATCCCATTAATGATAGCGTATATATGATGCAATCAATTTTTAAAACAATATAATAATTTTGATAAATGAGAGTTAATCAAATAGGCAGTTCATTTATGTTATTAGTAACGAGTTAATCAGTTAACAAAGAAACAATTTGAAATGACAAAAACTTTCAGTAATAAAACACTTCAAATGATTTGATTTTCAGAACAATTCACTTGTCCTGCAAAAACTGTCAAGTGTCCTGGAAGTTACTGTATTGAACAGAGATTTTTGTGCGATGGACATATTCACTGTCAAGGAGGAGAAGACGAACAAGATTGTAGTAAGTTACATTGATCAATTATTGTAGAACTAATTTACATTTTAATTGGTTAGTGCCACCTATAACTGACTCAATCAAACGAGCCACCTATTATTGGCGCAATCAAACGAGTCAGCTTTTTTTTCTTTTCTTTTTTGCCATTTTGTTCGTTCTAAGGAGTTTCGTAAATCTCTTTCTTCAATAGTATTTCTCTAGTATGTGATTGCTTCAATTTTCGAACAGTTATAAAATGTTTCCGGTTCATATTTTTTATTTTGAATAATTTAAAACAGTCAGAGAATTTATTTGTTTGTGTGATTGTATTTTACGTCACATCGACAAAGTATAGGTCATATTGCGACCTTCCAGTTGAGAAAGACCTCAGTTGCCTTTCCGTGCATTATTTCCGGCACACACAGGTACCCCTTAGTTTAACCTTCGGCGTTCCTTAATCTAGCTGAAAAACTTTCTCTCATGGAAGAATTCAAAGCCTCTGTCGGGTTTCGAATCCATAGCAGTGAGGAACAAGTGGTTTGAATTCAAAGATTTTAACCATTCGGCAACGGGCGCCCCAGTTAGAGAACAAATAGCACGAAATTGTCGTCTATAATGTCGTATAATTACAATGACGTCTTTTATATTGAAATGCTCATATGTTAATATGCAAATAGTCATAACATTGCTGATCATTAGATTTGTTTCCATTTTAAACATTTCTATTTTGGTCTAGATAAAATATCTTTATTTTGTATTTATTTTACTATTTTAGCTTGCATTGACTCGGAGAGAGAAGTAATCTTATTTGTTGAAGATGGAGATTCGGAGACAACAGAAGCAGCAATGCATTTGGCTAAACAACTATTCACTAGCAATTACAATAGTATTGTTAGATTATTTTATTTTAGGAGTCTGTACAGATCAATTAAATTTGACATTACATACAGATTGTTGGAAATAAAAGAAAAACACTTTAATCAATACCAGGTGCCTGAATGCAAGTATAAAACAATGGCAAGAGACCTTCTTAAACAATTGCACTTTTCCAAACCTGGAAAAAGAGCGATTATTGTGCTTGAGAATAGTGATGAATCAGCAATTGTCTCCAGCTTAGCATTATCCAATCTCTCAGAGCCAGAGTTTTCTATATATCGGGTTATTAAAGATTTCAGTTCTACACTTTATAAGGATAACAGATACAATTTTGTAAAAGATATACACATAAGTAAATGGAGTTCTCTATTTTCGATTGGATTCAGACGATTTCCAGAAATATGTACAGGTAAGTGAAAAAATATGAGGATAACGAAAAACCGGTGGGGACATTTCGAATTCCGACTTCATGAATTCACGATTTCATCTTCATGAATTCCCGATTTCAACTTCACGAATTCTCGATTTCAACTTCATGAATTCACGCAATTTCAATTTCATGAATTCACTTTCATGAATTCACGATTTCAACTTCACGAATTCACGATTTCAACTTCATGAAATCACGATGTCAACTTCATGAATTCACAATTTTAACTTCATGTATTCACCATTTCAATTTCATGAAGAAGTTGAAATCGTGAATTCGTGAAGTTGAAATTTAAGAAATAATAGATATATGTACATATAGAATTGTCTGATTCATTTAATTTATCTCTTAAAACATCAATAGATATGTTGCTTAAAATATTATATTTTGCTTCACTTATGAAATGCGTGTACTTGTTATTTTAATAGGATGTTTCAGTTTTATATTTACTTCAGTATTAAGTTTAAATTGGCTACGCGTTAATACCTGACACAAGAATGTGTTTTTTCCCTATTTGTAAGACTTCTGAAAAAACAATTATTAGGCAAATAAGCTTACACATTAATTTGTATTTGTAATATTCATTACTGAAGTGAACTATTAAACAATCTAAGTAAACGACGAAGATAAATGATAACAATGATAATGTAATATTTGATAATGTTTCAGATTTCATCCCTATTCATTTACGTTTCAGAGGCTTCATATATTCCGTGTGCTGGACAGTTCAGATGTTCTTCTAGTAAGCAATGTATACCACTTGAACAAGTCTGTGATGATGTCATTAATTGCCCAAATGGTGATGATGAGCGACTGTGCGATTCTATATGTCCTTTGAAATGTAATTGTAATGGTGATGTAATCAATTGCAGGGCCGCCGACATATCCATGTCTGATATATCATCAGCGACAATACAAGTTAGGCGTGCTGATCTAAGTAACAATCCAAAAATAAAAGAAATACACAAAGGACATTTAAGTTTCCCTTACATGTTACGACTTAATATTTCGTCATGTGACATTAGTGTTATTGATAAAGAGGCATTTTCTCACTTGAATAATCTGTTATCGCTAGATCTTAGCAATAATAAAATACAGAATTTACCTGATATGGTATTTAGCAAACTTCGTCATCTGACCCAATTGAAACTAGATAAAAACTTTGAACTGACGAAGATTTCATCAACAGCATTCAGAGGATTAAAAGCAGTAAGAAGTTTAATCATTTCAGGCACAAACCTGAGAAAGATTAGCTCACTAACATTCTCTGATTTACAATTAAACATTTTAGATATTTCTGACAACAAAATTGAAGAAATTGAAAATTACGCTTTTAACAACTCTATTATTCATAAAATAAACTTTGAAGGCAATAATGTGAGAAAATTCGGAAAAAATATGTTTAACGGCGTAACATCACTACGTGAGCTTCATACACCTGCATTTAAATTCTGTTGTATCCGACCTTGTTATGTTCCTGAAGAAAATTGCAAACCATTAAAGAATGAATTTTCTTCATGTGACGATCTGATGAGAAACTCCGTTCTTCAAGCAATTCTTTGGATAGTTGGGGTAGCATCGTTATGCGGAAATCTATCGTCAATCATATACCGTCTTGTCTACGATCGTGCAAGACTTAAGATAGGATATGGCATATTTGTAACTAACCTGGCAGTTGCAGATTTCCTTATGGGTGTGTACCTGATCATTATAGCAGTTGCTGATTCACTCTACAGAAACAGGTACTGATTAGAATTAATCACTGATAAACTATACAAAAGCAGTGATTTATTATGACTGATTCTCTATGCCAAAACTAATTTGTAACATTACAGAGTCAAGAAATTATATATAACTGATTCACTTTACAGTATTTGTAATAAAATTTGATTTATAACTTAATCATTCTTCAGTAAATCGGAGTAACTTAGGCTGATTTACTCATAGCTACAGACACATAACTTTTTTCTTACTGTTTAATTCTACGTACAAAATTTTATCGGAACTTTTCTCTCTTTAAAAACTTGTACAAAACACAAACTGTGTAATTATTTAGAAACAAGGACAATTTTCTAAGCAGTTCACTTAAAAAATAAGGTACTTTGTGTCAATTGATTCACTCTTTATAAAATGATACTTATTCTTAAATTGTTCGTTTTTTTTCTTCCTTTTTTAGCTCATTTGAGCACAAAGTGCTCAAGGATGAGCTTTTGTCATCACTCTGCGTCCGTCGTGCGTCCTTCAAAAAATGGCGTCAAACTTTTCAAACAACATCTCTTCCTAAACCACATGGCCGATCGCCACCAAACTTTACAGAAATGATCCTTTGGTGGTCACCTTTAAAAATTGTTCAAAGCATTTATTTGCATGCAGAACTCTGTTTGCCATGGCAACCGAAAGAAAAGACTTTAAATATCATTTTTTTTTAAACCAAATAGCTCGAGCTTAGATATTTGGCATGAAACGTCTTCTAGTGAGTGTCTACAAAGTGTGATCAAATAAAAGCCCTTGTGTCAAAATTGGCCCCGCCCCAGGGGGTCATTTATTTTCCCTATATGCATATAGTAAAAACTTAAAAAATCTTCTTTTAAAGAACTCAAAGTGCTAGAGCTAAGTTATTTAGCATGAAACATGTTCTAATTGATGTCTACCAGGTTTGTTCAAATAAAAGCCGTGGGGTAAAAATTGACCCTGCCCATTGGGTCATTGATTTTCCTTATATGTGTATAGCAAAAAATTAATAAATCTTCTTCGAAGAAAACCTAAAAAGCTAGAGTCTAGATATAAAGAATGAAACATATTCGAGTGAGTGTCTACAAAGTTGTTCAGATAAAAGCCCTGCGGTTGAAATTGGCCCTACCCCGGGAGTCATTGACTTTCCTTATATATGTATAGAAAAACTTTGAAGAAAACCAAATAGCTACAGTTTAGACATTAAGCATGAACTATGGTCTAGTTAGTGTCTACAAAGTTTATTCAAATAAAAGCCCTGGGGTCATAACTGGCCCCGCCCCAAGGCCGTCATTGTTTTAAACTATATGTGTTAAAAAACCCAATGAGCTACAGCTTAGCATGAAACATTTTCTTTTGGGTGTCTACCAAGTTTGTTCAAATAAAAGCCCTTGGTTAAAATTGGCCCTGCCGGGGGTGGGGTCATTGTTTATCATTATATGTGTAGTAAAACTAGACATCATGGAACATCTTCTTATGGGTGTCTTCCAAGTTTTTTCAAATAAAAGCCCTGGGGTTTAAACTGGCCCCTCTCCGGGGGCCTATATACAGGTGAGCTACCTCAGGGCCATCATGGCCCTCTTGTTTGTTGTTGTTTTTTGTGACTGATTTCTTTGTGTATAAATACCGACTCACTTGACACACTTTATACCACAACCAAATTATTCTACTTAAATATATGATATCTTTATTGATACTATATCCACGCTAATGATGCAGATCATAAATAAGTGTTTCCATTGACGTTTTTAAGAGATTGTTTTTAAGGTCATATAAATGTACTCAATCAAACAAAAATAATTCTGCATAAACGAACTTAATAAAAAAGGTGATTATGATAAAAGAATGGATGCAGTGGATGTCTACAAAGTCTGTTTTTAATGATTAAAATTAAGTAAAATCTTTATTTCAAATTGATTATTTATAATATGACACCATTAATTTTCAGATACATTTTTAAGGATGATCAATGGAGAAACAGCAATTGGTGTATTTTTGCCGGGGTTTTGTCTACAGTTTCATCTGAAGCTAGCGTTTTCTTTCTTTGCTTGATTACATTAGACCGACTTTTGGTAATAAAGTTTCCATTTGGTGCAGTGAGATTTGAACCTGCGAAGGCTTATATCTGCTGCGGAATATGCTGGTTTATTTCCATAACTCTGTCGATCATCCCAATTCTTTACACAAGTCACTTCCAAAACCAATTCTACTCTAAAACAGGAGTATGCATTGCATTGCCTTTAACACGAGATAAACCACCAGGTTGGATATATTCCGTTTCAATTTTTGTTGGACTGAATTTTTGCACTTTCATTCTTGTTGCCATCGGACAAATATCAATATTCACAGAACTTCGACGAGCAACATCAGTTATAAAGAAGACACAACAATCAAGAAAACGTGATTTGAAAGTTGCTAGAAATCTTATCCTTGTTGCAACAACTGATTTCCTATGCTGGTTTCCAATAGGAGTAATGGGTAAGGTCAAATGTACACATTGTCTGTATAACGATACCTTAATGAAATCTGTTTACGCATGTATGGCCTCAATTTACAGAGGTCTAAATGTAAAAATGAATGTGTTTTTATAAAGAATATTGTGACTTTCATTTCGATTAAAGTTATCCTCATAAAACATTTTAACACAAATTTTCCTAGCATATAACAATCCTTTTATATGAGAAGCAGGCCTTGGAATATGTTCAGTAAAATGTCATAAATACACTCTTCTCTCTTTAAGGTATTTTAGCATTGAATGGATATCCGATTCCAAGTGACGTATATGCATGGTCAGCCGTTTTCATATTACCAATTAACTCTGCCCTTAACCCGTTTCTGTATACAGTGACAGCTATAGTTGGAAAGAAGGTGGAATAATGATTTTGTTTTTCTCTTTTGTAAACGTTTAAATGTAACCTAATCAGTCATAATGTATTCATTATTTACCGTAGCTAATTGATTATTCTTTATTATTTGGTTTTGTGACAGCTGAAAACAATTACGGTCCTTAGTAGGATAGCAAACATTTCTGTTGAAAACAAGTTGTTTTTTTTTCCTATTTTATTTTAGAGTTTTAATCCAAGCATTGATGAGCAGAGTCGGACGATGGTCCAGAAAGGTACATACGTGTCATCAGTTTTGAATTTATCATCATTGTATTTTGTTTTTCCCTTGCTTTTTTGTATAGCAAATTGCTATAATAGTTAGGAATAAAAGATACATTCATTTGGCATTATTGTCTGAATTAGTTTCGAGAAAGAGCCGTACCTGATTATCTGGTAGTGTACTTTAAAGGTTGATTGTGTCGTAGTCTTGTTAATATATCAAATCAAAACTGTGAGCATAAGATATTGTTTCAGTACAAATTTTTTTAATCTTGAAATATAGTTAAATTATATTATTCCGTTAGGCATCAAACAATAATTCTCATACAGCATGCCCTGTGACATTCATTTCAGAATAGGAGAAATCTTTTCACCCTGACATATATTCACTTTAAGTGTTTGAAATATCAATATTGTTATTTAGTCATGCTATATATCTTATAGGCTAAGCACAACGTAGCAGATAAGTAACAATGGTATAATACAAACTGTTTCTAATGATGACCATTGAAAATATCGTACAATACTGTAATGTTAAGCTCAAAAGTACATGTACTGTTTTAGAAATTGGCACTGCAATTCTAGAATACCAGAAATTTGGCAGATCCGTGCGAATGAAAGGTGAACTCGTGCCAGTCGGAACGATGCGTAGTATTCAAGAAATACTTAATGACGACGAATGTATCTCAGTCAGTATTGTTATGGCAGTGTCTAAACAACTTGCTGATTATCTACGTCTTCTACATTCGTCTTTCATTGCCATCGACCAGATATGTGCTACAAACATTTATATTAAGGTGTATGAAGGAAAGGTACACAATTTTCAAATCAGTTTTCGAATAACGACTTAAAGAGTATGTAACTTGTCGGATCTCATAACGTCAAATGATGTGTAGTGGAAAAAGCTTCTATGCTCAACGTTTCTTTGCTTTTTATGTTAAAGGGAAAATGTTCAAAATTAAACGATTTATAGTCGGCATTTGAAATACTTAGAAACTGTGCATTTGAATAACATTTAAGTAATTTATTAATGCTATGTTTTAGCATTAAATGTTTTTGTATGAATCAATAGATTCTTTATCGATCTTTAAAAAATCTCCATTATTTTCACTGACGTTTTCATGGAAAAGTAAAGTTTGGAAAAAAGGTACTAAACCGCATTAATTTACAGTGATGATTAATGTATTTAATATATCATGTTCATACAAAAGAAAATAAACAGCATTTTACAAGAATTTATGATATTATTTTTTTTTAATAATTTTAATAAAATAATACATTTTGTATAGTGATAAAATTTTCGTAATTTTGTAAATCTGATTACTTTTTTATCATTCATAGATAAACAGACCAATTGTTGTAATCGACGCAAAAGCATCGATAGCTGTCGATGAAAAAGCTCTGCAAGAAAATATCCGCCAGTTTGGTAACCTTCTCCGAAAACTTGTTTCAAAATGTGAAAAAACAGGTGCGGAAATGAGCGGTATACTATGTATACAGGATAGGAAACCGAAACAAAAAGCAGACTCTTAGTAACAGATTGCGTTCTTAAAATATGTTATATAAAAAGGGGAGCAAAATAAATATAAATCTTGTTTTCTCTTATTTGAACATATAACTGTTACACATGTAGTATTAATGCATTCAGTATGTTTTTTTATGATATCATCAATATTTTGTATGTTTAAAATCGTTATACATGTATAAGCACAATTTCTGCTATTTATTTGAACATAGTTTGTCAATATTGTAATAGCATTTTTATTTATTTATTATTTATTTTTTTTATTTATTATTTATTTTATTTATGCGTAATGTGTGAAAAAGAAACAGTCACTGTGGTGTTAAACGTGTGTCATATGTTCGTAATTTAAGAAATGTTTCATTAAATGCATTCATGTTGTCGATGATGTAAGTAAACTTTAATTACTTAAATGGCCTTTTTTGTTGTTGTTTTTTATTGTTGTGATCTATAATTGTTTTGATGCTCTAATTACATGTTCTTTCATGAGATTTCGGATGTTACTTGAAACATTTAAATCCCGTTTGTCATTAAATGTGTTGCATGTTTTACTAGACTAAGTGTTGTTTTCCATTATTGTTGATGAAATGTTTGGTAAAGGATCGGTGGCATGGTGGTAAAGGTTTTTAATCGCCTCGCAGGAATCATAATGCTGTGTCCAATGGGCATAAGTATTCGTTGGTTAAAGGAGACGGAATCGGGAGCAGAAAAGATAGGAATCATGTTTTCATCATCGAACTGACCATAGATATTTTAAGTCCCATGTTGTGAAAACTTTTGATTACAGAAAGTGTGACTTTAACTCATTGTAACAATACGCTAAAACTAAATATATATTAATATATAATTGTTGTTGATTTGATTATCAAAAAGATTGAATTTGTAGTAAGAGAATTGACATTTGTTTTTTAAATATATATTTTGTGTAATTGTTGTTTTTTCAATAGTTCATGTATTTTTGAATGATTTTAAATTATAGTCATTTGTATTAAAGTTTATTAAATAAAGAAATGTACTCTCATTTACTAATTTATAATAGGATATTGTATTATGTTAAGTGTACGTATTCATCTTTTTAAGATATATGTAATAAGGTCCTAGATCAGACCACTTTTCAATCATGATGGCTCTATCAAAAGTATGTAAGAAGGCTGTCGTCTTCGTCTATGTGTTTGGTACATTGTAATTAATGATATCAAGTCTTTATTCGATGGAAATTAAATGCACTGGAAGCTTGGTCGTTAATGAAGTGAGAAGCTGTTTCCCGAAGGATCGATCTTCCTGTTTTCGATCATTTCTAATATAAAAATAAATATTGAAAATATAAAAGTGTAGACAATTTATTAATACTAGTGCTGTTGGTTTCAATTACCATACATTGCAATCCAATTTTAAAAAATGTATATATTTTAAGTTTATATTTTAATTGGTTTTTTTTATTGTTTTGTTTTACTGTATCGGTTATTCTTTATAGTTGATAAATCACATTTGTGTATGGTTTTTGATAATAATTGATTCGATTCAACAAGTTAGACAATTCCAAATTCATAACTAGCTCATGTGACGTATTTGCTATTCCATATTAAGTCAAATATTCTTAGAGTTGAATGTTTTTGAAACTTTTTGTTGACTGAACTTGAACTATATCGTGGCTGTAATATTTATGTACTTTTGTCATTTATTTTGATCTTATAGCTGAAAGATATCCTCTGTACTGATTTTCTTGGCTATAATTCTTACAAACTATGTTAAGAACGTATAAACAAACATTACAAAACTGTGTATATCTATGTATTAATTTGGTCATATTTTTCATTAAATATTGTACAGTAATTTCTTTTCTTATGTTTTGCTTGTACATACCTGTATACGTTTCCATTTTTCCGGCTTCAATAAGATTTGATAAAAACATAAACATTCAGCCACTTACTTAACGGATGTGAGTCATACTGCATCGTTATATTAACCCAAATCCAACTTAGGTTGCAAGTAACACCCTTTCATTTTCGTTTTCATTGCCCTCAATAATAACCTGTTAAATCAACAGCAGGTGTCAAATGCAAATCTTCTGAGTGTTTTTTTTCTAATTTTTGGGTATCAATGATTCTAATATATTATGATTCAAGACTGGGAATCAAAACTACGTCGTATCCTACAAAATGTAAACAAACGCGGCCATCTTGGAACGAAAAATGTACGTTTTTGTTTATAACTCTTTTTGTTGGAAATGACTGAAATATATGTATTAACAAGCTCCACTATTTTCCGCATCATTCGCTATATGTTACTTGTACAACTTTTTTTTGTAAAATTAAAGTTATAGCGCGCGGGCCAGAATCGTTATGAAATTTTGTGGATACGACGCAGTTCATATTGCTTTATCTTCAAATCAATTATATACTCATTTCAGGGTTTACCATAAACTTAAAAGTATAATTTTGCATCATTTACTAAAATTTCATTAAAAAGAGATGGTTATTTTCCAAGAAAATAATAATACATGTATGTACGGAATGATACGACGCAGTTGAAAATAAAATATGATACGACGCAGTTGTATTTATTGGCAGTCTTTACAACAGAGAAATTTTGGCAATATATGTATATTTTACTGAAAACTCACTTGCGCTAAATAAAAAAACTCAGATCATTCGCGGTTTATAGCAATGTTCTGATGCTTTTTATTATTTAGAATGCATTGTGTTATGTCCAATATAACACTTAATTTGAAAGTTTACATTGCGGAAGCTACTTTTCACTTGAAACTTGAACATGTTACTTTATTTATTATAATATCTTAAATAATTTCTTATATTTTCCTGTATGTTCAATTCAATCCATATTTTTGAAAAAATATAGAAGTCTATGAATTCCTTTTGGCTAGCTACGCTCTTAGTAAACTGTTGTTCTGTATGTTTAAGGTAATGACTGCTTTTTTGTGGTTTTATTTCAAACTTTAACTCTTCACTTTAGCTTTACTGGGGGTAAGAGTCTCAGGTGCGCCTTTGTGCATTATTTCAAGCAAAATGTTGCACCTGCAGAGAACCATCGACAATTTAAAAGAAGCTTGATAGGTTTTTCTCACGAAAGAATCAAAATTCCCTGGTGGTTTTCAAATTCACAGTGCAAGTGACTTGAAGTCAGTAAACATAAACAGCGCGGCCTCGGTTGGACACACCTGTCTGTTTGTTGGTATTTTTTGTAACAAAATTTGTTTACCATAGTCTTAAATGTAGCTGTACAAATAAGCAGTTTTTTTTATAAATTTCTGGCATGAAGTGTTAAGATCACAAATATCTAAATTAATTATAAAGAGAATAACATTTAAATTTGTTGCTGAAATGAAGCATTTTCTTACTCTCTGAGATCACTTTTACTTTGATATTTCGTTTAAAAAAGTGGTCAGTGGTGTGAATATCAGAGAAATTTAAAATGTAAACAGGGGGTTATCTTCTTTGAAGTCTGAAAAAATCTGTTTTATGAGTCAGGCAATTCATTATCAGATGAAAATCACATTTGAGTATGAAGCTATGTTAATATGCAATGTTTCTACTCTGACCTAAATTTTCTGACTCCGACTTTAATTCAATATAGGGGAAACTTCTTCAATACTTTTGAAACATCATGTCGCGCATGTAAGTGTAACAATTTTATCGGTGCAAAGCGTAAAATACATTTGCAAAACGGACACCTACTTTACAAAATTGTAGCTTTATCATTTGTAATACATTCCGGCCTGTTCTCATTGTCGATAACGAAATGCAATACGACAAAATCAGCGGTAATTAAGTTCCTCGGCGCTGAACATAAAATGACTGAACGAAACGATTACCTTACTTGCAGCTTAACCATTTATGATATACTTTTAAAAATTTAATGTTTAGAATACATAACCAGTTTTCCTAATCATGTATTAAAAGAAGATGAATACTTAATTTCAAACACTGATTTAAGTTTCAAATAATAAAGCTTATCTGTTCTCATCGATTATTAAAAAATTATATAATGAAATCGGCGCGTAAAAGACATTTTTAAAATGGCATTGTCGCAAATTGTTGTTAGTTTGTAAATAAGTAACAAAGGAAGCCATGCAATTTGAGCATATGAAAAAAGTAACCGACCCCATTAGTTTCGAACAGGTGCTAAAAATGCGACCGAAAAATTAAGCATTTATAGAATTTTATTACATTTTCGTACAACCAATTAGAGATCTCTGCTATTGACTTAAGTTGTTTACAACGTCACTTGTGTGTATTCATAATGATAAAAAGAAAGTAAACAAAAAGTGTTTTTACACGTTACTAGCATACTTAACGCATATTTTTATAGCTGAACAAATATACATGTATATGCAGCCTGCAATAAAAAATACACCTGCGTCGTATCATATTTTATTTTTAACTGCGTCGTATCATTTCGTACATGTTATTATTTTCTTGGAAAATAAACATTTCTTTTTAAAGAAATTTTAGTAAATGATGCAAAATTATATTTTGAAGTACAAATGTATATGGTGAAACGAGTCTATAATTAATTTTAAGGGAAAAAAACGATACATAAAGCAATATGAACGTTAATTTTTGCAATTTACTCCTAACAATTTGTTCTTATATTGAACATATATGCACATTATAATAAAGTTATTTCACCAGTGTTGTACGACACACCGGTTGTGACATTTCAACTTCTTGATTTCTCGTGAAATCACGAAGTTAAAATTTTGAATTCACGAAGATGAAATCGGGGATTCATGAATTCGAAATGACGCCTCCGATCTTTCTTAGTATTGCTGGTAACTCATTTCCATGCCACTATTGCCAACAATTAGGATAAAAGAATCACATTCAAAATTCTACCAGCTATAAAGTTGTATACAATGTTAACATTTTCTCATGAAAATGTGTGTATTTATATTGCCATTTTCCTGACAATCCGATAAAAAAACAACAGTTATTGCAGGCTTTAAGGATATCGATTCAATTCATATTGCACAGTTTAATGATATTTTAGCATGTATTGTACCCATAACATCAAGCTCGAAACTTCTTCATATTAATTAAGTCAGCAATTTTGTCTTGCAGTAAACTAATATTGCGAGGGACTGTTATCTGTGTCTTTTTAACTTCTAAAATTGACATTTACTACTACAAAACTACTACAGTAAAAACTCTGAAAACCGGACCCTCTCCGGACTTGACCAAAAGTCCGGTTTTCAGAGGATTCCGGTTTTCAAAGGTTTTATACATTTATTGATAATCATGATGTGATTGAACAATGACTTTGTTAAAAGAGTTTTTAGAGTTTTTACTGTATTACAATATCTAATTACTATAACTAAACAAAGCACGACACATCAACTTTCTGAAATTTCGTAGCATAAAAGATTTTAGTCTGTTTATCAAAATGGTTTCTTACATATGGGCTTTACGTTTTTTAATTTGAATTTTTATTTTCTACTGAAATATGTAACAAAAATTAGTGAGTGTAAAAGACTATGAATATTTATTTGTTTAATAAAAATCATTTTAAACATAAAATGAGTTTCCATGAAACGTGACAAAGAGTATTTCCCTTTTCAGAATTTTATATTATTACCAACTTTACAGAGATGTTCCAATAACACATCACTATTTAATGTAATATCAAGACATCAACTATTCAGTTGGCACTATCGTAGTGAAAAGCGTCAAGCAATGTAATTGCTGCTATAGTCCGAGCATGATGAACAGAACTTTCGTCAGTTCTAAAAATACCAGCACAGTCCATTAAAAGATAAACTCAGGTAAACATAGATTAACCAAATAATTACATTGAAAGTTATACAAATTAATTTTTATGAGATGTTATCTTTGTTTAACTGTATAGCACAGAAAGTAAGACTGCTTATTAATATGAAAGTGAATTAAGCTAGCGGGTTCGAAACCTGCTAGAAACTGTTTAAATTTTTATTCAAGTTTTACTTCTTTTTTTCTTAATTTCTTACTGTCTGACAAAATAAATATATGATTACATTACATATGCATACATTTATAACATGAAATAAAGGAGGTGAAGATACTTCGTTTAAAAAGTAATATTAATACATCAATAAAGAAATAAAAAAAAAGGAATTATCGTTATGTAGTGAAAAATAAAAAACAAAAAAAAATTAAAAAAACAATGAAAACAACTTTTTTGAAGCCTGTTAATCTCCTGTCAAGGAGTACGTTCCTACTGAACATAGTGCTCTATAAATTGATCTATTGCGACATTTATTTCTTACTTATACAATTATCAGTGAAACCTACAATCATTGAGATGTAAAACATTTCATTTACCTATAAAGTATTAAGGTGGACTGTTCCATAGTATAAATAAATATGAAGACAGTTCTGTTTATCGTGCTTGGATTATACCAGTTTTTTATAATATTCGTTATGAATCAGCCGAGGGCCAACATGCGACGTACCGCAAACGAGGAGGACGCACTACGCCATCACTGCGAAATATGCTACATACAGCCTTAAAATTGTGAATTGTTAAGTTTAAAAAAAAACATTATCCATCAAGTAATTCGGCACCATTCATGTAATGGTCAAACATAAGCGATGCTTCGGCAGGTGTATCAGTAAGCCCAGAAAAAGTACACTTTTATCTAAATGATCTTCATATATTGTCACATTCTACTTAATGTTTCATCGATTGTCCTTTAAAATATCTTTAGACACGTTTTGGCTACTTTTAATTGTAACAAACTATTTGAATAACTCAAAGTAGCTCAAAATACTTTATATGATAAGCGCAGACAAAAAAGATCTATTGGTAAATTATATCATTCACT